CGGCGCACTGTAGCAGTACGCCACCGGGCCAGCCTGTATGCAAAACTTTAAAGCAGCAACTCTAACTTCTTATTTTTGTCACTTTTTTTTTTTTTGGTGGCTGGCTGGTACAGGATTGAATAATTGTGGACCTTGGTGTTATCAGCACCATGCTGTAACCAACTGAGGTTACCAGTCAGCTCTAACTCTTTTTAGGTGTAACAAATTTCCTTGATATGTTATGACAACATAAGTGAATTTAAATTTGTTTGAAGCAGGGCCGACCCGTGGCGCACTCGGGAGAGCGCAGTGCTGGGAGCGCAGCGTCGCTCCCGCAGGTTCGGATCCTATATAGGAATGGCCGGTGCGCTCACTGGCTGAGCGCGGTGCGGGTGACACCACACCAAGGGTTGCGATCCCCTTACCGGTCACGAAAAAAAGACCAAAAAAATAAATAAATAAAAATAAATAAATACATTTGTTTGAAGCATTTTATTTTGTAAATAATTTTACAGTATTCTGTGAGGGTTAAAAAAAAGTTATGGGAATCACTGCTAAAATAACAGAAAAGCTTATATGAACATTAACTTTGCTGAGGTAAGCCTGCTTTGAATCGAAATAGGAGAAATAGGTACTTTTAAAGTGCTTACTCAGTGTAAGGTATTCTTAAATTATAAGAGGAATTTAGAGATGAATTAGACACTATTTGTACTCTAGAGCAGTGCTATCCAATAGAACTTTCTATGATGATGGAAATGTCTTTTGTACTGTTCTGTATAGCCTCTAGCTGCATGTGACTGTCCAGTACTGGGACAATGGTGGCTAGTATGACTTGAGAAACTGAATTTTAAGTTAAATTTTTAATTAAGATAGAAGTCATATACAATGCATTTTAAAATTTAAATTAAACAACCACATGTGGCTAGTGGCTAAAATATTTGACAGCACAGCCCTAACTATTGTGGGAGGGTGAGGGGATGTCAACATGTGAAATATGTTAGTAAAATACTTAAATAACAGGGCAGTAGAACAGCGGGTACACTGCAGAACATGTATAATCGTCAGATTGGTAGTGCTGAAATGTAGGAGCGTGAAGATCAGTAGCAGCTGAAGAAAGGTTTGTGTTGGGATATCAAGTAAGAGATTTTTATGAAGTGAAAGGCTCATACGAGGAAGCGATGGAAGGTAGCCTGGAGAGATACTTTGAGGCCAGATTTTAGAAGGCTGTAAATGCCGTAAACCTAATCAAATAGCTGTTTTCCTGGAAGTAGTGGGAAGCCATTGAAGATGTCTTAAGCAGAACAATACCATAATTGTGGTGGTGATTTATTGATGTGGTGATACGTTTAAGAAATAATTGAGACACAAGTTGGCCTCAGGAATGTATTGGAAGTGTCAGATGAGAGAGGTACTATGAAGAATGCTGGCTGCAGGTACAGCAAGATGATTCTTCTCTACTGGAAGAGTAGTAGAGTTAACAGAGATAAAAACTAAAAAGTTGGGAAGGAAAACAGTGAGCGTGTTTTTGAAGATTGTGGGTTTGGGGAGAAGAGTTTTTTAAAGTGATGGAAGGCTATCAAGGCATATATCTGAGTGACAGCTGAAAATAAAGAAATGGCTGTAGGTAGATCAATCAGGACTACAGGAATGGATTTATGAGTCATTCTTGTAGAAATCAGGGTGGTAATAATAGTAATAGTGTATTGACTCTATCACCTCTCACTTGTGTGGCCTTGGGCAAAGTTTCCTAGTATCCCTGGGCCTCAGTTTCCTTAGCTGCTAAGTACCTATGTCAGAGGGATATTATGAAGATTAAGTGTGCAAAGTTCTTAGAACTATTCCAGGCACAATTTTCAGTTTCTAAAGTGTTTTCTGGGCCGGCCCGTGGCTCACTCGGGAGAGTGCGGTGCTGATAACACCAAGGCCACGGGTTCAGATCCCATATAGGGATGGCCGGTTAGCTCACTGGGTGAGAGTGGTGCTGACAACACCAAGTCAAGGGTTAAGATCCCCTTACCAGTCATCTTTAAAAAAAAAAAAAAAAGTGTTTTCTCATATGGTACTCAGTTGTGGTGAATAACACCACACCCATACTGTCACCAGAGTTGGAAACTTCTGCCCTCACGTCTTCCATATGTAGGCGTCAACACATCTTGTATTTTCTACCTCCTAATTTCTGTAGAGTTTGTCTTGTTTTTTCCATTACCCAACTGCAGCATTTCTTGCCTATCAACATTTTGTAGTCTCTCTTCATCTTAGTCCTATCCCCATCTCTTCATCCTTTTCCTTACTGCCAGAATTTATGTTCTCAAATATAAATTTAATCACATTAATCTCATTTAAAACTTTTTCCCCATCACCTGCAGTGTAGAGTACAAGTTTCTTAACTCTGACTTCTGTGAACCTTCTGTCTCTGTAGTCTTATCTCTCATTATATACTTTCTCCCCTCCCCTCGTCTTCACTCTTACACAACATACATGGCCCCAAACTAACAAGTGTGTAGGTCTCTAAATATACACATATGTGCCTTTGCTTGGTTGGCCCCCTCTATCCAGAATTCTACCCCCACTCACCATCCTCTTTATGTCTTGCTAATACTTTTCTTTTTCTTTTTTTGTTGCAAATACTTGTCTTTTAAGACTAGATTCAGGGGCTGGCCAGCTAGCTTACTTGGTTAAAGCACAGCCTTGTTACACCAAGGTCATGGGTTTGAATCCCAGATCCCAGCACTGGCCAGACACATACGCACGCACACATGTGCATGCGTGCTAGGTTCAGGAATCTAAGTCCTTAGTTGTTTCTTCTCTTTTGTTCCTACTCCATAATACCCATAACATTTTTGGGTAGCCCTTTGCTTGCATGCCTGCCTCATTCTACTAGATTAGAAAGTTCTTAGAGCACGTGCTAGATTTTATCCTTTTTTGTATTCCTATTACCTAATATGTTGCTTGTACCAGGAACAAAATAAATGCAGATGTTTTGTTTACATTTTATGTATTAAAAAAACTGAGGTTCAGAAAATATACGCTTAATGAAGCGTGTAGTTTTTTTTTTGTTTTTTGTTTTTTTTCTTTTTTAAAGATGACCTGTAAGGGGATTTTAACCCTTGACTTGGTGTTGTCAGCACCACGCTCTCCAAAGTGAGCCACGGGCCAGCCCAACATGTAGGTTTTTCACAGCCCATTTCAGTACTGCTTCATTAACTATGATATTTCTCATAATTAAAACCATTAGAGCAATGATTTTGTTTTTAGCCTGTGGACTTAGAGCCCCCTCAAGGGTGTTAGAGTTCCCACATGGAAGTCTACAAAGTCCGCATGTAGAAAATATATGCATATTTTATAGCATGAGTAAATAATATATTTATTTGTATATAATACCACCAATTATTTTGAATGTACACAGATGCTCTTGGGACTAATTCAATTGAGAATCATCTTGGTGAAGCAGACATAATGATATTGTTTAAGAGGAAAGCAGTATAAGAGCCTTATCAGTGCAGGAAATTAAGAATAACAGCTTTGCATAGTTTGTTGGGGAATGCATAAGGTACAAGAAAATATTTTTTGAAAGCAATTAAGTTGAGTTTAGATGATAATATCTAAATTTTTCTTAGTCATCAGTAGTTTATTAAAATAAGAAAGTTTAAAAATTGCTGAAATCAAAATTTTAAATTGTTAAACCTATTTATTTTAATAAAGGTATCTTTAAATACCAGCTGTTCTCATAATGTTTAATGCTTAATGAGAAATTTTTCTCTCACTTAATGACTGGCTGCTGTCTAGACACACAATATTGTGTTCTGTTACCTGTGCCACAGGTGTTTCTGTTGTTGATATAAAACATTTGTGGTTTGGTAAGGCTTCTAGGTCCATGGGTGTATCTTAAGTAATAAGGCTTTAAAATATGTGTACATTTGTACCCATTTGCTTAGCTGCTAGATTAACAAGAATTGTGTGATTTCATTAATTCCTTTGGCAAATATTTATTCAATTCCTGCTGTGAACCAGGCACTGTCCTCGGCCCTGAAATTATAGCTGTAAGTGAACAAAACAGACAAGCGTTGGCCCTAGTGGTACTTAACCTTTTAGTGGGGAAGCCATTTAATAAACTTGATTAACATACAAGTAGATATCTGTAACATGATGCTAGATAGGGGCAAGTACTTTAAAAGACCAAAAGAAGGAATAGGGAGTGATATTTTCTGTTTTAGAAACATTTGTCTGAGAAGGCCTTTCTAAATAGACATTTGAGCAGAGAGACCCAAATGAAGACACTAATTAGCCTTGCAGCTCTCTGGAGGAATAGCCTTCCAGGCAGAGGGATCAGCAAATTCGGAGGCTTTGAGGGAGAGGAATGTTGGCCTGTTCAAGGGACAGTGAGGAGGCTAGGGTAGAATGGTAGGAGGTGAGGTTGGAGAAGTAGCCAGGGATAGATCATTTAAGACCTTCAAATTTTATTCTAAGTATAAAATAAAGCCTTTGGAGGGTTTTTAGTAGGAGAATAAAGTGATCGGACTTAAGATTAAAGGTTCTCTCTATGCTTGGTAGAGAACAGACTCTAGAAGTACAAGATTGGAAGCAGGGAGATCAGTTATGAGGTGGTGGTTATAGATCTTCAGGTGAGAGATGGAGGTAGGGAGAAGTAGTCAGATTTGAGATAGATTTTGAAGATAGAATCAACAGGATATGTTAATTGTGATGTGAAAGTGCATAGTCAGTGATAACTCCAGGGTTAACAAATAGACACTGGACTTGAAGGATATACGCAGTGTTTACAGTGGCTATCTCTGAGCAGTGGCCTTATTAGGGGCTTTTTTTTTTTTTCCTTATCCGTATGTACCAGTTTTTCTATTCCAAACCTGTAATGCTTCTGTAATAGAAAATATATAGTTTATTTTAAAATTAGAACTAACAGTTGTACTAAGTGTAATATAATTTTTAATATGTTCTACCCCTTTTGATTTTTAAAAAGGAATTTAAATGACATAAACTTTCAAAATTTGTCTTTTTACTCTTAGTGATCAGCCTTTTTTGCACTTGAAGATGGTGAAGCTAGATATTCATACTCTGGCTCATCACCTCAAGCAGGAACGCTTATATATAAACTCTGAGAAACAGCTCATTCAGAGGCTCAATGCAGATGTACTTAAGACAGCTGAAAAGTTGTATCGTACAGCATGGATTGCAAAGCAGCAGAGGATTAATTTGGATCGGCTTATCATAACAAGGTAAAGAAAAGGTTTTCAGGTCTTAAACTTTGTGAACCACTGTGATTCTGTGCTGACTGCTAACTGTAAATAAATGAATCTATTTGCAACAAAGTGCATGGTTTAAGGTAATTTAAATTAACATTAATTTGAGTCTTTGTTTATATACTATTTCATTTATTAATTACTTAAGCACTTCTGTAGAAAATTATAACTTAAGCATTAACATTTTATACCATGCTAGTTTTGTATCTTTGTATATATAACATTTTATTGTTGTAGAGAGTAAATTATCATTTGTTCTGCTTTTCTCCTAATATTATTTAATATATACAATTCCATATTTTGATACTGTATATCTACTTTTCAGGTGTAGAAACCACATATTTCATTGTGTTAATACCTCATTGTTCTGTTTTCACAAGAAGTGGATTTTAACTGTAAGAATAGTGGTGCTGAGGTATAATATTGAGAAAACAAGCCAGACAAAGGATTCATACTGTATGATTATTTATATGACTTCAAAAAGAGACAGAACTGATCTTTGGTGGCAGAAATCAGAATAATGGTTACTTCTTTGGCTTGGGAGGGTGGTATTAACTGGAAAGGGACATGCAGAAGCATTCTGGGATGCTTAAAATGTTCCATGTCTTAATCTGAGTGGTGGATACAAATGTAAAAATTGATCAAGCTGAACATTTGAGATTTGTGTGCTTTGCTGTATTTTATCTCAAAAGTAAGTTAAAAAGGAAAAAAAAGAATAGAGCTGTTTTGAACATTGTTGTAGGACTTCCCCCCATAAAGCTACACAACTACACCAATTGTTGGGTTACAGCAATAGCTACGCTAATTGTATGGCTAGGCATTTCATAACTAAAGCCAGAATGTTTCATTATTTTAGTTATACTAAATTTCCACTTGTATTGTCAGGGCTAGGGCTCAAACTCCTCAAACCCATTGTACAGACTGGGTCACCAGACCCCTCACATGCCTGGCTGGGTCACTAGACCCCTCACACGCAGGTCCATGCTAGGTAATTGGGAAAGATCCTGGGAGGCGTTCGCAGATGACATAAGCTCAGTCCTCAGTAGTAGCAGCAGCAGTGGCTTTGGTGGCCTCCTGGAGGGTGCCAGGGGCCCTGGCAGCAACAGCCTTCAGCAGCAGTAGCAGCCTACCCATGACACCCTTGGGGGCGTCCTGGGGGTGGGGAACCCTGTGGATCAGAGCCACTCATCCTTCATAGTTAAGTCTATAACCCAGGACACCTGGGTGCACATGCACAATTACATCAGACAATAGCCAAGGAATACCTGGGCACATATGCATATTTACATCAAATGCTTGGCAAGATTCTGAACATCTGATGGGCCCTGATCATTTTCTTTCACTTTCCCTACACCGCCCCCCCACTCTTTTGTGCTTATTTTATTAGGATTCGTTTTCAGAAGTAAGAAGCCTGGTTGAAGGATATGATTTTACAAATGCTTACATACTGGCACATTGAGGTTGAGAAATGTTGAATGATATACCTGATATGGGCTTACTTTTTTTTTTTTTTTTTTTTAAAGATGACCGGTAAGGGGATCTCAACCCTTGGCTTGGTGTTGTCAGCACCACGCTCAGCTAGTGAGCAAACCGGCCATCCCTATATAGGATCTGAACCCGTGGCCTTGGTGTTATCAGCACCGCACTCTCCCGAGTGAGCCATGGGCCGGCCTGGGCTTACTTTTTATTATTTTTTATTACTTGAATATTTGTAAACTTTCTTGTGTCCATAAATAAGCAGTTTTTAACTAATGTTTAATTCAATCCATGAATATAGCTCTGGGCAATAGTTGTTAGGACCTACTACTTTAGATGCTGTTGGTCTAAAAGATTTTAGCAAGTCAGGGTGATCTTGTTGCTGGGACTATAATCAACTCATATTTCCATATTTCAATATAGTTTATGTGTTATTGTATATGTATACAGTATATGTATAGTATATATATTTTGATATGTATTATTGTTATTATTTTGCTTGTTTGATATTTTTTTAGTGCTGAAGCTTCCCCTGCTGAATGTTGCCAACATGCCAAGATTTTGGAAGATACACAGTTCGTTGATGGATATAAGCAATTGGGATTTCAGGAGACCGCTTACGGAGAATTCTTGAGTCGATTAAGGGAAAATCCTCGTCTTATTGCCTCTTCTTTGGTTGCTGGAGAGAAACTTAATCAGGAGAACACACAAAGTGTTATTTACACAGTTTTTACCTCCCTGTATGGCAACTGTATTATGCAAGAAGATGAAAGCTACCTCCTTCAGGTTTTGCGATACTTAATTGAATTTGAACTTAAAGAAAGTGACAATCCCAGGCGACTTTTGAGGAGAGGAACTTGTGCCTTCAGCATTTTATTTAAACTTTTTTCTGAAGGACTGTTTTCTGCCAAACTTTTCCTCACAGCTACTTTACATGAGCCAATCATGCAACTGCTTGTTGAAGATGAAGATCACCTGGAAACAGACCCAAACAAGCTAATTGAGAGGTTCTCCCCATCTCAACAGGAAAAACTCTTTGGAGAGAAAGGCTCAGATAGATTCAGGCAAAAGGTTCAAGAGATGGTAGAGTCCAATGAGGCCAAATTAGTGGCTTTGGTGAACAAATTTATTGGTTATCTCAAACAGAATACGTATTGTTTTCCACATAGTTTGAGGTGGATTGTGTCACAGATGTACAAAACCCTCTCCTGTGTAGATAGACTGGAAGTTGGGGAGGTCAGGGCAATGTGTACTGATCTCCTGTTGGCCTACTTCATTTGTCCTGCAGTTGTCAATCCAGAACAGTATGGAATAATTTCTGATGCTCCTATTAATGAGGTGGCACGATTTAATCTGATGCAGGTATGCTTTTGCTATTATTAATGTGGCATTTAGTTTAAAATCAGTTGGCCAATGGAGGTGGAAATAGAAAATATAACTACAGTATTCATATATTCTTACCATTCCTTTTCCTCAAACTGTCCTAAATATTTGTTTCTTATGAAATAAAAGCAGTCATATTGGGATTTTAAGATATTGTAGTCACAAAACATTTTGTGTTAGTTTTTAAATGGAATCCTTACACACTTGAATGTATAGTTGATTAGATTTTCCAGAACAAAGGATAGTGACCTCTTTTCTATAGTTTCAAAATCCAGAGTGATCAAAAACTGAGTGTCATTTGGTAGCAAAACCTAAGCTAAACTAACATGAGGCTGTTTATAATTGTCATTCCATTTATTGCTGGTGAGTACTCATGTTTTATCACAGAAGTATTAATTTGCTTGGTCTGGCTGGTTAGCTCAGTTGGTTAAAGCAGTCTTATAACACTTAAGTTCTGGGTTTGGATCCCCATAGAGGCCAGCAGCCAAAAAAAGAAAAAAAAAAGATGTTAATGTGTTTGATTACAGGGTAACACACTACATAGTGGATATGTTACATGTATGCTCTAACTTCCCTTTCTAAAAATCTCTAAATTCTGAAATCTGAAACTCTTCTATACCTAAGAGTTTCAGAAAAAGGATTTTTGGATTTATATTAGCACTTTTTTTCTAATCATCTAAATTACTAAAGTTGTGTTATTATTTCTTCAGGGACTCTTTTTAATCATGTCTTATCCTCCCCAGAAATACTGTGAAGAAGAGAAATTCAGAATAGACTATCTTTGGGTGATTTTTTTTTTTTAAGTGATAAGTTTTTTTGTTTTGTTTTTTCTATTTTATTTTGTCGATATACAATGTGGTTGGTTATTGTGGCCAATTTACCAAAACCTCCCTCCCTCCTCCCTCTCCCCCCTCCCCCCCAACAATGTCCTTTCTGTATGCTTGTCGTATCAACTTCAAGGAATTGTTTTTTTGTTTTTTTTTTTAATGATCAGTTCTTTTATCTGCAGCATTTTAGCAATTCACTATATAGAATTCCCAATCTAAATTTTTTTTAGTGTAAAGATCTTAATTGGCTTTATTGTGATTCTAGAATCGGGCAACACTTCATTCCATAAAATAGAATAAGTGTTCCCTAATTACTTTTTATCATCTGTGAAACAGTAAATTTATTCTAGTGATAATGTATTTGTAGTTTTATTTTTGTCATTCCAGTAGAAATTGAATCACATATTTTCAAAATGAGTAAAAATGGAGATTGTCCCAGATATGAAGATACTATAATGATGTTAACTTTCAGCAGGAAACCTTTAGAGTGGATTAACAATTCACTTTTGTTAGTAAGGAACTTGCTCTGTGAATTAGTGTTACTTTACCAAACAGCTTATGTTCTGTAGGAATTGTTTGCTTTTAAATTAGAAAAAGGGACCGGCCTGTGGCTCACTTGGGAGAGTGTGGTGCTGACAACACCAAGTCAAGGGTTAAGATCCCTTACTAGTCATCTTTAAAAAATAAATATAAATAAATTTAGAAAAAAATTCTACCTTGACTGCTTTGTGAATTCTATAAAGTACTTAATATTAACTTGAAGTAGTTTAATGAGTAAGTCAGCTTTTACAAATTAATTTAAAAAATTTTAAGCACATGAAAAATACAATATCAGAAACAAATGTATTGTACTTTTATTTCCGATTGTTGATATCATGTGTTAGAGAAATTAAAACAAGAAATTTCTACTTCTTTATAATTTTTAATCTAAAATTAGTAAATGCTGATGTAGACAAGATACACATTTTATTGGGGACCCTATTTGGTATGCCTGGTCAAGTGATGTGAGTATTATTATGAAACAGATTTCTAGACTAGAATAGAAATGTTTTTATGAGCAGGAGTTTGTAAGTATCTACAGCCTATTTGTCCCTACCACTTCTTTGGGTTGCAGGTTGGCCGCCTTTTGCAGCAGTTAGCAATGACTGGCTCTGAAGAGGGAGATCCCCGGACAAAAAGCAGCCTTGGAAAATTTGACAAAGTAAGAACGAATACTGTGTCATATGCAATACTGTTTATAGAAAATTCTGCCAAAGTATTAGTGAACCTGTTTTCTTTATTAAATCTTATCCTTGGGTGATGTATAAGTTAAATGTTCTTTTTTTTTGTCTTTTTCCGTGTCCGGCAACGGATCGCAACCCTCAGTGTTGCCCCCGTACTGGACCGGGGACCGGCAACGGGATTGCAACCCTCGGTGTTGCTCCCGCGCCTCGCTCAGCCAGTGAGCGGGAACCAGTCTGTATGTGGGATCCGAACCCTCGGGCGGGAGCGCCGCCGCGCTTCCCAAGCGACGCACTTATCCAGTGCGCCACCGGGCCGGCCCTAAATGTTCTTTTTAATTAGCTACAGTATTAGATCAGCAGTATTTAAAGGAAGATGTCACTAAAGATTACTGACTCTCACAGAAGTATTGAGGAGATGCTATTGTAATGAAAATCAAAGAGCTGTTTTATTTTTTAAAGTTTTTTTTAAAAACTCAGTGGGCTGGCTGGTTAGCTCACTTGGGAGAGTGTGCTGCTGATAACACCAAGGTCATGGGTCCGGATCCCCATTTTGGCCAGCTCCCACTGCCCCCCAAAAAAAACTTTATATGGGTATATGAACCAGCAACATTTTTATAATTTTAAGTGTATTTCACAAGTTAACATTTATTGGATTGTTCAGTTAGTTTAGTTAAATAAAATTATAATCAATCATATTTTGAGTATTCAACCTGGTTGAAAATTCAAGGGTTATACGGTGAAATTTCCCTTCCACCTCTCACCTCTAGCCTTCATTTTCTCCCCAAAAGCTTGATGTTATCAGTCTTTTGCATATATTTCTAGAGGCCTCTATACAAGCAAATTCCTACATACATTCTCCCATTCTTCCTATTCCTCCCTTTTCAGAAATGGTAGCATAAGGGGTGGCTGGTTAGCTTACTTAAAAGCGTGGTGCTAATTACACCAGGGTCAAGGGTTTGGATCTCCGTACCAGCCAGCCGCGAAAAGAAAAATGAAAAAAAAAAAAAGCACAATATGTATACTGTTCTGTGTCATGTTTGTTTTGCTTTCCATGTCTTGGAAATAATTCTTTATCGATACATAGCAGTTTAGTTTTTTTAAATGCTGGGTTTAATATAATTTTCAAGAATTTAAACTTTTTGTGTGCTTGTTTACCTTAATCAGAAGTTTTTTCCAGTGTTTTAAAGGTGGGGAAGTATTTTACTGTGGTCTTTTCCTGTTTTAACAGAGCTGTGTTGCTGCTTTCCTTGATGTTGTGATTGGGGGCCGTGCAGTGGAGACCCCTCCAATGTCTTCTGTTAATCTTCTGGAAGGGTTGAGCAGAACTGTGGTTTACATAACCTACAGTCAGCTTATTACTCTGGTAATGGCTTTATTGTTTAATAGGATTTTCTCAAAAATCTTTTAGCTAAGCATGGATAGTCATAGATTAGTACATTGTGTGAGAAATAATACATGTATTGTACATGTTTAAAAAATTGATTTCACTATCTAATGACCTTTACTTTTGTCAGGTGAATTTTATGAAGAGTGTGATGTCTGGAGATCAACTGAGAGAAGATAGAATGGCTCTTGACAATTTATTGACAAATCTACCCCAGGCCAAGCCAGGAAAAAGCAGCAGTTTAGAAATGACTCCTTACAATACTCCTCAGCTGTCTCCAGCAACCACTCCAGCAAATAAAAAGAATCGCTTACCTATAGGTATAAAGAATTTCTGATATTGGAGTTTTCCCTTAAATTTATTATTTCTTCATTAGCTTTTTCTGTTGCTCAGTATTTTAGAATATAGTTTTAAATATATTCGAAAGTCTTTCTCTTCATGTGTACTAATGGTATTTCATTTTTTAAAACTCACACCAGATTATTTAAGGCTTTAGCTTTATATAGACTTAATTTTCATAATTAATTGAAATCACACCATCCACAGTTTACTTTGTTTAAATTTTAGTGTCTTGGGGCCGGCCTGTGACTCACTTGGGAGAGCATGGTGCTGACAACACCACGTCAAGGGTTAAGATACGCTTATTGGTCATCTTCTTAAAAAAAATAAAGATAGGGCCGGCCTGGTGGCGCACTGGATAAGTGCGCCGCTTGGGAAGCGGGGCGGCGCTCCCGCCCGAGGGTTCGGATCCCACATACAGACCAGTTCTCGCTCACTGGCTGAGCGAGGCGCGGGAGCAACACCGAGGGTTGCAATCCCGTTGCCGGTACCCGGTCCAGTACGGGGGCAACACTGAGGGTTGCGATCCGTTGCCGGACACGGAAAAAGACAAAAAAAAAGAACATTTAACTTATACATCACCCAAGGATAAGATTTAATAAAGAAAACAGGTTCACTAATACTTTGGCAGAATTTTCTATAAACAGTATTGCATATGACACAGTATTCGTTCTTACTTTGTCAAATTTTCCAAGGCTGCTTTTTGTCCGGGGATCTCCCTCTTCAGAGCCAGTCATTGCTAACTGAAAAAAAAAAAAAAAAAAAAAAAAAAAAAAAAAAAAAGGTAAATAAATAAATAAATTTTAGTGTCTTTTCTTGGAAAAATTTTGAAAATGTTATTTTTGAATTATGTAGCCCTCTGTTTTCTACGGAGTTCTAACTGATATAATGAATAATAATATTTTAGAAGTTTTCACCAATAAGGTGGAAAATAATAGTTACTATTTTTCCATTATTGTTTTAAGTCAATCTCTTATCAACTGAGCTAAGATATCTTAATATTATAAAATAAAGAAAAAGTTTCATTTTATTTTGTCAAGTTTATCCATTTAGTTAAGAATTATGTTTAATTAAGCTTTATTCACTTTGTAAGCATTTGTTATCTATTTCCCCACACAAAAAAATTAATTGAGCATGTGCCATGTATCAGATACTGGGTTAGCACTTTGTAAATGTTTCATTTTATCCACACGAAAATCCTGTGAGGATAGGTATAATCACTAACTTGCACATGAGACACTGTGTTAGACACTGGGGATATAAAGATGCACTGCTTAATGAGGACATGCCCTTCCTCTCAAGTTAGTTGCTGATAGTCTAGTTGGAGAGAACAAGAAGAGACCAGTACCCTTCAGTGTACTAAGTGTTCTGAAGGAGATAAGCATGGGGGTTGTGGGGATACCTATCTCAGCCAGGTGGTGGTGGTGTTATCAGGAGAAGATCTTAGAGTAGGTGAATGCTGTGCTTTCTTTTGAAGGATGAATGGGAGTTAGACAGAGTAAACAAGACAGGGAAAAAGTGTTTAGGCCAGTGAAGCAGTATTTTAGTGCGCATTTAATGAGCTCAGCAGCTCTTGGTGAAAATGAAGTTATTGTAATTTATACATTTTGAGGAATGGGATTTTGTTTTTAAATTTTCTTCTACCTTACATTTAAGATAGTATGGAATTATATTATTAACAGGAATGTGGCATCGTATTCTGTTGCTTTGCCCCCCGTGGATTTGTCACCCCACTTCTCCTGGGTGATGGAGCCACAAAGGATTACTCAAAGCCCATCTCTTCTGAGCAGTGAGAAGCCCCGAAGTGGTTAACTTCCCTGGAACCTTCCAGCAAGAGGCATCCCTTCCTTGAGAAATTAACCCCGAATTGGGGTTCTCTTCCTGCATTTATTTTCCAGACCAGGAAGTTACAGGAAGAGAACATAGGTGGGGTTATAGTTTAACAATATAGGCTGGTAACTTTTGGTGAAACAAGTCAGATGACATTCCATTAGACAATTAAGTGATCCACCAACAAAAGCTTGATCTAGCAAACATTCCTTCTCCCTCCAGCAATTTTCCAGTATCTTTACACATCAATCAGTAACCTGTCTGTCCCTGAGCCAGCAACCTTGCTGTGCCACAAATCTTTATCTTACACTAGAGACTTTATAGCCTGAGGAAAATTTCCAGTCCTCCACAAGGTCAATATTTGAAACTGCAAGGCTTTGGAAAACCAGGCCCTGTGAAGTACATTTGCTTTAAGAATCCTCTACAATATTCTTCAAATCTTTTGCTTTCTTCATCATCCCAAAATGTCATTTTCTAATTTAAAATAGAAAAAATGAAGTTTTACATTTAATGGTTTTTAGTTATTATAGGCTATTTGCACACTGAAGAAATAAATGATTTTTGGTAAATCATAGATTTTTTTTCCCTATTGTTTACTGCTGTATGTTAGTTTTTTCATTTCCCATCATCCGAAAGTGTCATTAAGTATGGGTCTAATGGAAAGTAAATTTCAAATGTTTACTCACTATTATTTTGTAGTCTTGTGACCTGGTCATTGTGTTTATTTCACATTTTTAAAAGTGTATCCATTGTTCAAAGGGTTGATTTTTTTCTATTTAATGCTTTCACAACCCAGGACAACAGTTAGCAGCCATCACTGCCTGGGATTCCTCAGCCACCAATCTTACCGCTCACATTACGCTAGTAACCCCATTTGGTGGGTAATAGGCTGTTCTTTCTTTTCTTATTGTAACTTTTATTTAAGAAATAGTTTATAAAAGTGTGTTCCATGTGCATGTTGCTTTTGCTTTATGTAAATTGCTACATGAAATTTGATCACTTGCATTTTTATAAATTATAGTTACACAGTTTGTTGTTCAGGATTCATAGACCTGTTCATGAAGTTGAATTTAACTTCACAATTCAGTAGAAGATAGTGGGGGCAAGCATATAAAAGTGTGAGTGGACCTATTTTAGACTTTTTGAAATTGGTGTATACTCTCAATTTTCACAAAGTGATTAATCAACAGCATTGTGAAGAGAAGATGATTATTTATATTTCTGCCTCTATCTGTCTTCAAGTAGGTCAGTTTTCACTTGAAGTGAAGTTGAAAGGTTTTGTTACTATAGAGTGTTTTTGCTTTATGTCTGTACTTTTATTTTGCACAGAGAGAATTTATATTTAGTGTTTAGTTGTAAGAATTTTATTGCCCTGAGAAAGAAAATGGAAACTTATCACAGAAGACTAAATAAAAGTCATAGAGAAATTATCACTAACTAAATCTTTTGGTGTCCAAAAGTTCTTGAAAGAGCTGTAGGATGGATTATTTTAGAAAAAAGTATTACTTGTTTCCTGGAAGGTTGGGGGAAAAAACAAAAATAATTGAAACCTTTATTAATTTAGAATGTTTCCATAAAGCAGAAAGGACCTTATATTCAAACCTAAGGAAATCTTCTCTCCTGCATCTTTGGAAAGAAGTTAATGCATTTCTGGGGGGAAAATGTGCTTTCAAAAACTGATTACGGTTTTGTCAACAATTGCCTAATTAAAATACTTTACTTTTTAAAATAATTACTTTATATATGGCCATCAGGTTTCCATATGAAATTTTCTAACACTTATAAGTTCAATTATTAGTATAGGAGACTTGTGGCAGTTAAATCATTTTATAGGAAAAATAGCTAAGGTATCTTTAAAAGATAAGAAATAAAGTAATGTTTTTCTTGTCATAATACTTAAATTGATTGGGACATGTCTGCTGTTCTGCAGACATGATTATCTATGTGTCACTCCCTGTAAGGTGGATTTGGATTATTGTTTCTAATTACCAGTTTTGAAGGAGAATCTATATTAATCATCAGTAGAATAACTAAGAGGATCTAGTTTTTGGTTTTGTTTTGTATTTTCTTATCCATATTTTCACCACTCTTATTTTGTGCATGTGCAAATGTACTACACTAATAGAAAAAATATTTTTGTATTTAGTGTACCATTTTCTTCTTTTTGTCTTTTTCTCTAAATTATTTTATTTTAAATGTTTTATTAGCAACTCGGAGCAGAAGCCGCACTGGTATGCTAATGGACCTGCATATGGACCATGAAGGGTCATCTCAAGAAACCATCCAGGAGGTACAACCAGAAGAGGTGTTGGTCATTTCCTTAGGGACAGGTCCCCAGCTTACTCCAGGGATGATGTCAGAAAATGAGGTATGAATGTATTGGTGTATTTAATTTACAGCCATCAATGTTAAGAAATTTTGGTTGTTTTCTTCAAATTAAGGTCACTTGCTTCTATACGTCAGTATTCATGTCTTAGTCCATTCAGGCTGCTATCACAAAATACCAGAGGCTGGTTGGCTTATAAACAACAGAGGTTTATTTCTCACAATTATGGAGGATGGGAAGTTGAAGATTGAAGTGGATTAAGTGTATCATGAGGGCTCATTTCCTGGTTCATGGATGGCACCTTCTTGCTGTGTCCTCACATGGTGGAAGGGGTGAATGAGCTCCCTTGGCCTATTTTATAAGGGTACTACTAATTATCTCCCCATAGGCCCCACCTTCAAATACCATTGCCTTAGGAGTTAGGATTTCAACATGAATTTTTAACACAACATTCAGACCATAGCAATGCATTTAATGCATATTGTTCATTATCTTCAGTGGGCTTATCGTGATGGTGTTCATCAGATGCTAAGCTACCTGGGAACAGTTGCAGAGGCCCTTACATTATTAATACATCTGTGGCATTGAAGTTGGTGAACAGGTCTACAACAAAAGAAATTTTCCTAGTAGTAGTGGAAGAGAAGAAAGCCAGGAAATTGTGGTATGGAAATTGAAGAGACTTTTCCAGTGATTTGTAGGAAGTGTTTTGTGTTTATTTTCTTTCTAGTGGTATATTAATGGTATTTCTGCTGAAAAGAGCCAAATATTCTTGAGGTATACTTTCTATTCTTTGACTGGTCAGGAAAAAATGGAAGAGATAATTGAAAAGAAAATCAAGAAAGTAAAATTTCTTCAATCAGTTTTAAGATATTTGTATACAAAAGAGCTTGGGATAGAGGCAAATGGGAAGAAGAAATCTTGACTCTCTAAAGGGAGGAGCCTCTTCTCATACATTGGGACCTCATGAAAAAGATATAGCATCTTCTATTCAATAGTGACTGCTTATTATTCAAGAAATCTCATTACTGGGCTGAGAAGAAGAGACTAGTTTTAGTGGTTGGTAAAGTGATGATGGTGGTTGGTAAAGTTGTGTTTGGAACTGTGGCGTGACTAGTAAGAAAGAGGGCTGTCATACTCCAATACTCCATCCTTCCCCACACAGAAAAAATGAGTAAGCTGGCAAGAACTGCCAGAATTAACTTCTTTGGAACTCTGGAGTCTTATTCAAAAACTTTTAACAATCAAGGGAATGCTTAATGAAGGAAAAAAACTGGTGAATTTCGTTAAAAGAGTTTTGTGACATTTTACCTTACCCTGTTACCATCCCCAAACCCTCAGCTCAGTGGCAGCCCTGAGGATAGCAGCTTGCTTTCTTGTGCAGTGTGCTGGTACCTGAGGGAGCAGTGTGGACCTTATTCCCAAGGTATCATGGTTGCATATTTTGATCTGTCTGATAGATCCCTGAAGAGTTAGCTCAAGGGCTTGCCTTTGTTTACCTGGTTCTGATCTTACCCAGGGCTGAGGCAGCTTCACAGGTGGCACTTGTCAAAAGCATCTAAATCACATATATTAGTTGCTGCTGCCTGGAGCAAAGGATAACAACCTAGGCATATAGTAGATAGTTCAAAAAGCCTAGGAAGGAAAGAGGCTGGGGAAAGAGATACCAGGGGGCACAAGGGCTTTGAAAAGCTCCCTTTTGGGGAATCTAGAAGGTCATACACATACCCAGGCCTGGTCATGTGCTTGGAAAAGACCTTAGAAGACCTAAGTTCTCACCTCTGGCTGACCATGAGTCTCCACTCAAACAGGAAGCGAAGGCTAAGGTACATTTGCAAACTGCCTAAGTGTTGAAGAAGAGCCCCAACACAGAGCCAATCTGCAGACTTGGAAAGGGTTTGGTTGTTTTTTTTTTTTTTTTTTTTATTTCAAGTGTTAAATTTGCCAAATCACTTACTGACCACTAAGCTAACAGAACAGAGACTGCATTGGCCACACATGACAAAGAATACAGACTTTACAAAATTCAGAAAAGTCATTAAACTAACAGCCACCACAACAGGCAGCAACTACTAACTGTGGGTGATGAAGAGGGGGATCTGATTTCTAGAACTGCCACATTATAATATTTAAAATATCTCGTTTTCAACAAAATTTATGAGGCATGTAAAGAAACAAAGTATGGCCTTTTATAGGAAAAAAGAAATTAATAGAAAATATCCCTGAGTAAGCACAGACATTGGGCTTACTAAAGACTTTAACTGTTTTAAATATACTCAAAAAGCTAAGGAAACCATGGACAAAGAACTAAAGAAAACTAAGAAAACAAGGTCACATCAAATGGGATATCAGTAAAAAGGTAGAAATTACAAAAAGGAACCATATCAAAATTCCGGAGTTGAAAAGTAACTGCAGTGAAAAATTTACTAGAGGGGTTCAACAGCAAATTTGAGTAGGCAGAAGAACGAATCAGTGAATTTAAAGGTGGATCAATTGGAATTATCCAGTCTGAGGAGCAGAAAGATTACAGGAAACAAAGAAAGTCATTATTGATAAATGATCAATCCATCAAGAAGATATAGCAATTATAAACGTGTACACACCTAACAATAGCCCCAAGATAAATGAAGCAAACGTGGACAGAATTGAAGGCAGAACTAGGCAGTTGTGCAATAATATTTGGAGAGATCAATACCCCACTTTCAATAATGGATAGAACAACTAGACAGAAAGATCAACAATGAAATAGCAGACTTAACACTGTAAACAAACTAGACCCAACACACATATATAGAACTGTCCACCCACTACAGCAGAGTAAACATTCTTCTCAAGTGCACATGGAATATTCTGCAGGATAGACCATATGTTAGGCCGTACGGCAAGTCTCAATAAATTTAAAAAGATTAAAATTATACTGAGTATCTTCCCTGATCACAGTAAAATGGAACTAAAAATCAATTAACAGAAGGAAATTGGAAAATTCACAATTATGTGGAAATTAAACAACACACTCTTAAACAGTGGATCAAGAAGAAATCAAGGGAACTTAGAAAATACTTTGAGAGGAATGAAAATGATGACACAGCACACCAAACTTATGGGTGAAAACAGTGCTCAGAGGGAAATTTATATCTGTAAACATCTATGTTAAAAAAAAAAATCTTAATCAATAAAATACCTTTCCACCTTAAGAAACTAGAAAAAGAAGAGCAAACTTTGAGCCGTATGAAATTGCTCTTTTTGTGGATCAAAAATTGTTGAATATCAGTATTCTTATATGTTTTTTTGAGATGATATAGATATGATTTTTTATTTTATTTTATTTATTTTTTCTTTTTGGTGGCTGGCCAGTACAGGGATCCATACTCTTGACTTTGGTGTTGTGACACTGTGCTCTTAACCAATTCAGCTAACCATCCAGCCCTCAAATATAAATTCTTATTTGGGTAAGGGATTGGACTAGATTAGGGTTTCTTGATCATGTGGTGTTGGAATTCTGGGTAAGGTAACTCTTCATTTTGGGGGACTGTTCCATACATTGCAGGATTTTAAAAAAATTTTTTTAATCCCATGCCTCTGGGACAAAATGCCAGTAGAATTCATTAGTCATTATAACAATCCAGACTGCTCCCACTCACCTACAAAAAGCCCTTGGAAGGATCTCAGTCTTCAGCTGAGAACTAGTGGGCTAGATGAACTCTTAAAGTTCTTTCAACTCTGAGATTCTCTGGTCTTAGTTTAGCCTGGAGTTCAGAATCTCTGGTTTAGAGGCATGAATTTGATTTTTGTATTTCACATTCCATTGTGACTGGTTTTGAACAATAGCTTTTCCTATAGGATCACAAAATTGCTTGCTCTTGGATATGATTTGGGAAAATATCTTCATTGCACATCACTCACTCTGGTGAGTTTAAAGGTCAAGTTATCTTAAAAATACAAAATTAAACATATTTATGTCTGTTTAATGTCAAACAAATGAGAAAAAAATCGTTTTAAATGACTTTTAAAAAATATCACGTGTGTATAGAACCATTAGAAACCTCGCACTGGAGAGTGCGCCGCTTAGGAGCGCAGCGGCGCTCCCGCTGAGGGTTCAGATCCCATGTGGAGACCGGTTCCCGCTCACTGGCTGAGCGTGGTGCGGGCGCCACACTGAGGGTTGCGATCCCGTTGCCGGTCCCCGGTATGGGCGCGACACCGAGGGTTGCGATCCCGTTACCGGTCAGTAAAAAAGACAAAAAGGAAAAAAAATTATTTTTTAAATAAAAATTGTATATATTTGTGATGTACAACATGATGTTTTGATTATAAGTATACATTGTGGGGCCAGCCCGGTGGCACACTGCTACAGTGCGCCGCTTGGGAGCGCGGTAGCACTCCCGCTGAGGGTTTGGATCCCACATACAGACCGGTTCCTGCTCACTGGCTGAGCGAGGTGCGGGCGCAGCACTGAGGGTTGCGATCCCGTTGCTGGTCCCGGTCCGGTACGGGCGCGACACTGAGGGTTGTGATCCGTTGCCGGACACGAAAAAAGACAAAAAAAGGAAAAAAAAATAAGTATACATTGTGGAATGGCTAAATCAGGCTAATTAACATATGTATTATCCTCTCATACTTATTTTTTTGTGGTGAGAAGTTTTTTTTCTTTTTAAGTAAGGACACTATTCTTTCTTCATATTCCAGCAACAGCCTAGGAAGCCAAGGACTGTGAGTTCAAGTTCCACGTGTGCTTAAAACATGCTGTGTGACTTCCAACAAAGCACTCAATTCTTCATTTAGATAGAGATACACATACAAAGCTAAGTTATGAGGCTTGTAGGGAGTCAAAAGTAGTTATATTATTTAGAACTCATCCAGCAAATAGAAAACATTATAAAAAGGTCTTCAACTCGGGGCCGGCCCGTGGCTCACTCAGGAAAGTGTGGTGCTGATAACAACATGACCACGGGTTCGGATCCTATATAGGGATGGCCGGTTCGCTCACTGGCTGAGCGTGGTGCTGACAACACCAAGCCAAGGGTTAAGATCCCCTTACGGGTCATCTTTAAAAAAAAAAAAAAAAAAGGCCTTCAGCTCTAAGCTGGAAATGGCTGCAAAGTCATACTTTAGCTTCTGGTATGGACTTTTGTGGCCCTCTATGTGGTGATCAAGTGGAGTTTCAGACTAGATGGATTAAATCCTGGTGCCTATAAGATAACATGATTGCATGTTTTTTTGTTTTTTGTTTTTTTTAGTTGAATTAGTTTGTTAACTCTTGAAAAAATTTACCGCAAATTTAATACGTTATGTGTCATGGCAAATGCTTTATGTGCATCTTTTTATTTAATCCTCAACAACTCCATGGCATACATACCATTACTAACACCATTTTATAGATGAAAAAATTGAGGCTTAGAGAGCTTAAATAACTTATCCAAGTTACAAAACTGACACATGGCAGTACCAGAAGGACCAGCCTGCTTACAACAAAGCCTTCTGATTCCTGTAATCCTGATCATTGCCCCTTTGATGTCTGATTGCCAGTTCAATCTCTGACACTGGTAGGGCGATGGAAAGTTGTTTTAACTGATATATTTTGATTCCACGAGTATTTAAACTCTTGACATCTTGTAAGTGGATTTTTAGTTAAAAATGATAGTTTAAGATTAAGAAGAAGTTAAATATGCATTTGCTCTGGTTTGTTTTATCAGTTATCCTTCATCTGTGATAAAACAAATTGGCGTTTTATTCTTTAGGTCCTAAACATGCAACTCTCGGATGGAGGACAAGGAGATGTCCCTGTTGATGAAAACAAACTCCACGGTAAACCTGATAAAACCTTGCGCTTTTCCCTCTGCAGTGATAATCTGGAAGGAATATCTGAAGGTGAAGGGTTACTTCATTCAAGGAGTTGTGTGATTCTTACAAGTAATATTTTGTTCTGTGTTCTTTAAAGGAGCCTTATAAATTATAATTACACCATCTGTGCCTCTCACTGAGGAGAGTAATGAAACGAAGTTTTCCTCTAACGAGCTTGAACAGTTGGCTATAAAGATGGTTTCCTGCATAGAATGGAGACTGCAAGAGGCCTTTGGTCGTATAAAATGGAGAAGATATAAGTCTTTATTCAGACTTAAATACAGTAATAGCAAGTTTTGTTTCTGCAGTTTTAATGTATACTAAAGCTTATAGAGCTCCTTTAGAAGGATATAATGCATGTCTAAATTAGAAAAAATGGACTTACTGGTATTTCAAGATGTGTATACTTTTAATGTTCTGTATTCCTTTATTCACACACACACACATCCCCCCTTTATGAAACAGGATACAATGGAAATAGGAATAAAAAAGAAAATTAAAAGTCAAGATTATGAAGTGAGAATATATCATTCCACATACTAGGACACATTTTTTTCTAGTGAAAAAAGTCCAAATTTACTAACATTTAGAAATAAACATAAAATGCAATAACTTCTTTTTATCTAACTTTTCAAAAAATTACATATGTTCATTCTAGAAAATGTAGAAAAGAAATAGAATCATCTGTAATCTCACCATTCTGTTAATAGCAATTAACATTTTGCTTTATTTATAGCAAAATTAGTTTTATGTTGTTTTGTAACCTTTTTTTGTTTAATAATATAGCATTAACATTTCCCTTTGTGATTAAACATGTAGATTGCTCTCATTTTTCAGACATTAAAAGAAAGTCTGCAATAAGTATTCTTAGATTAATTTTTGATTAGTTTCTTAGGATAAATTCCTAGAAGCAGAATCGCTGGGTCAAAGGGCATTTATATTTAAAAAATATAAACACAGTAAGCATTTTAATCAGTCTTTAGTCTCTTATTAAGGCATGAAAAATTGCATGACAACTCATGACTGTTTTAAAAAGATCACTCACAGGATAAACATTTCTCTAGGTCCTTCAAATCGCTCCAATTCAGTGTCCTCTCTAGACTTGGAGGGAGAGTCTGTATCAGAACTTGGAGCAGGACCTTCTGGGAGTAATGGAGTTGAAGCTCTACAGCTGTTGGAACATGAGCAAGGTAAAATGAAATTGAACACAATTGCTCAAATAGCAAAGAATTTACCTGATTGCAAGATAAGCAATGTGTTTGCATGCAAATTGGCTGTGTCCAGTAAGAGAATAAATTTGATTATAATGATTATTAAACTTGCATTTGTTCATAGTTTCTTCAGTTCTTAAAAATGTGTTTAGTTGATACGTGAATTGTTTAGGTTTAAATTACATAGAATAACTAATATGAATTACTTTAAATTCTGTAATATTTAAGGAATACAATCAATGATAAATACTCAGGGCTCAAGGAACTTAGAATAGGGAGAGAACGATACACAAATGATTAGAAGTATCATAAAAGTGCTTTGGCAGTTCTGAGGGAGAGAGACATGTGGTTGAAAGTATAGGGAAAAGCTTATTGGAAGAATTTTCTAGGTTTAAAGCCTGGCTGGCATTGTGTTGGCAGAAGTTAGAGATAGGTGAAGGATGAGAATAGCAAGTTAAAGAGGTGGGAAACTGTAGTACTTATTCAGGTGTCAAGTAGGGAAATAGAGTGAGGCAAGGATTAAAAAATGGATGGATCCCGATTGTGGAGAGAAGGAAGTCTGTACTTTAGTAGAAAGCTGGAAGCCATTGAAAGCTTTTGGTTAGGTGAGGATGAGGGGATGAGGGTGATATCTTCTGCTTTAGGAAGATTAATTTGAAAATGTTTTTCGAGTTTGTCCATTTAAAGATCACTAGTTGAGGGCAGTATTGCTATTGGAGTGTGTGTGGCTTGAATAAAACTACTGCTTTATTTTACTGGATCAGTTTATCAGTGTATCAATTAGGATTAAATTTGCAAATAACAGAGAAACCTAAAATAATATTAGTTTATGGCAGAAGTTGAACAAATATCACGTCTTTAACAGGCCTTCTGGGTGATCTGATGTAGGTGGTTGGCAGTCTACATTTTGTGAAACTAGGTTAAGAATTGAATTGAGGGAAATTGGTCTAGGAGTTAGAACATGTAGAGGAGTTATCCACATCAAGTGAAAAACATTTTCAGTATGGGTTTATGAGGTAATTATTGCCAGATAATGCTTCGTAACAGACCACCCCCAAACAATTTTTGCTCTCAAATCTTTGGGTCCCCTGATTGGTTCTTCTGATTTGTACTCCACTCACTCGTGGTTAGGTAGGGAGCTCTGCTAATCTTAGCGGGGGGTTAGGTGGTCATTGGGGAGCTGGCTGGTCTAGCGAGGTCTAGGATGGTAGTACATGCTTAGTAATGATAAAATACGTAACTTGAAGTTCAAAGGTATAAAGTTCTTTAAAGTTGATTAAAAATTGTAGCTGTGCTATCATTTTTAAGGTGCTTAATTTTGTTTTTGATAGCTACAACACAAGATAATCTTGATGATAAGCTAAGGAAGTTTGAAATTCGTGACATGATGGGACTGACAGATGATAGGGACATATCAGAGACAGTGAGTGAGACCTGGAGTACAGATGTCTTGGGAAGTGACTTTGACCCTAATGTTGATGAAGATCGCATGCAAGAAATTGCAGGTAACTGTGGTAACTATGGAACAAAGCATTTGGATACTTTTTCTTTACTTAAATATACGTAGTGTTTTCCCTTTCTACGTTTGATCCCTCTCCAACTCCCCCCAAAAAAGAGAAAAACCAATCTTTCGAATTATGTTCTTGTCAAGTCTTGTTTGCAGGGCATAGTTTACATACTTAAGTCTATGATTAGTATATTCTTCTTTTGAGACTAAACACCATATCCTAAGATGAAAATTCTTACAAATTATAGCCATAAAATCTTTCAGAATAATATGATACTGAAGTTTTCTAAAAAAATGAATTCACCTCTGGAAGGATTAACTCAGTTCGAAGGGTAACCAGCATTTTTATGGTTTTTTTTTTTTTTTTAATGTTGAGTTTAGGTACAATTTACGTACATTAAAATTTACCCTTTTTAAAATACTGCTTTATGAATTCTGAAAGATTCATACAGTCTGAAACCACTGTCTTTATTTTCTTTTTAACTCATGGAAAATTTCAAATGATGCAAGAGAGTGGTGTGGTGACCCAGTGTAGCCATCACTCAGCCTCAGCAGTTAGAGACACACGGCCAGTTGTGTTTCATCTGTTCTCCCTCCCGATGCCCCTCTGTCCCCTCCCCCCATTATGTTTAGGCTAGTTCCAGACACTATTTTATTTGTAATTATTTTATGATATATCTTTAAAAGGTAACTTTTATTGGTAACTTTTTTCTAGAACTTTTTTTATTAGGTTTAATCAAAAGTAGTGGAGCATTCTGAACTTGAGCATTTTTAACACTGGCATATAATAATGTTTAATCCTTTCTATTTGTATTTTTAAGTAGTGTAAATAGATTTCTTAACTGGTTTTGCAGTACTTTGTTCCAGATGCCAAAGTAGTATTGTTCTTGGCAGCAAGAGGTGTACTTGCAGTTTAATGAGGGCTATAAAGGAGATGTGTATTTTCTTGGCAAATATATTTTATTGCTCTGAATATGTGGCTTATGTGCCAGAAGAAAACATATTTGGCCAGTATAACTTTTTGTGGTTAAATCTTTCTGTTTGAGTGTTTTTAATCCCTGGAGGACTATAAATTTTAGAAAGATATTAAGGACACGTAAAATTTGCTGAAAAACCAAGGTGAAACGCTAGTCGAAATGACTTGACCTGATGATGTGTGAAAGTTTTCTCTAAGGTGAACAGGAGGAAGCTGATGAAAGGAGGTTGTGCCATTGTGACCAAAGTGGGAACTTTGTGTTTTTAGTGGTGTGTTTGATTGAAATTATTCTTACCTTGGCTTTTTTCTTGTGGGTAGAGAGCAGACTTTGTTAGCTCAGTGTTTGGCCTTTCTCCACTATCACTGCTCTTTCTGGCAGGACCTTTGTTAACCCTTTGCTCCCCACTGATTATACAGGTGCAGCAGCAGAGAACATGTTAGGCAGTTTGCTGTGCCTCCCAGGTTCAGGGTCAGTGCTTATTGACCCCTGCACTGGTTCTACCATATCAGAGACAACAAGTGAAGCTTGGAGTGTAGAGGTATTGCCAAGTGACTCAGGTTAGTATGCTGTCATTGTTTGCTTTTTCATTTTCACGGACGTTTTAAATGTAAGATATCCTAATTTCTATATTATGTGTATGAGGGTACTTCAAAAAGTTCATGGAAAAATAGAATTGAAAGATAATATGAATCTTTCCACAAACTTTTTGAAGCACCCTCATATTTTGTCAAATATACAATTGACAAGTGCAAGGCAATCACGTTGTTAAGAATTTCAAATGGAAAATTAGGGTATTTCTATCCATTAAGGAAAAACTCAGTGTTGGTTAGCATAGACTAAGATTGCAGGTGCTTTCTGACTCTGTGTTTGATTATTTTGGAAGCAGTTGTAACTCAGCAGGATTCCATGTGTGTCATTGAGTTCAGAATCTCTAGTAGCAACACAGTTCAAACCCTGAGTGGTTGACCTCCTAGTGAGCATGTTTCGATTTATCCCAGGGGACAGCCTGACCATTTAAAAGATGTTTAAAATGTTTTTGAAATATCTCGAAATTAATACTCTGTAGTCCTGAGGATTCTTTTGTGCAGGGTTGTTATAAATGTATATAAAGTGTTTTGTACTTTCTCTTTTCTTATGTATTGCATTTCTACTTTCTTTTCTGATTATGAAGACAAATCTTTGCCTTCAACTAATTGTCAACTACCAAAATGCAAATATAAGTAACTGTATATCTGCATTACATCCTAATTTTCTTCGCTCAAGAATGATTAAGTGATCCTGATATGTATTTTATAATGTTAAAACATTTAGACATACTAACCTTGCCTGGAGAAAAATAGGGGACAGTAGGATTAGCTCACTGCCTATTGAGTATCCATAGGAGGGAGTTATTTTTTTAGGAAGTAGTTAATTTAATGCTAAGCTATCCCGTACTCTCTTGACCAGTTTATATGTTAACCAACAGCATACTCTATGAGATTAGTGATCAAGAAACAGTTTTTACATGTGTACAATGAACTTGCCTATATTGGGATGAAGTTAGAACATGGACTTCTTTGGTCCATGCTTGGTCTAAATAGCTTTGCCAACTGGTCCCAACTTAGAAATCTGTTTACACTGATATTATTAATGCCCTGGTAGCTTTGTTTATCTGGGTTACAAGAGCTGAAATTTTGGTGTGATAACGGGATCACTAATGTGACACCTCCTCTCTTCCATTTAGAGGCACCAGACCTAAAGCAGGAGGAGCGTCTGCAAGAACTGGAAAGCTGCTCTGGACTGGGTAGCACATCTGATGACACAGATGTCAGGGAAGTCAGTTCCCGCCCCAGCACTCCAGGCCTCAGTGTTGTGTCGGGTATGTCTGTCTTGTTTTACGAAATAGAGATTTGAAGTGTTCCTCCTTTCCCCCCATTTATAAAGTTGATACCAAAGAGATAAGCTTTATCTAAGAACTGAGTAATTTCCAGGGAACAAAATTATTTCTGTGGCACCTTAAAGCTTTGAGAACTTAATTTGTGGCTTTATAGAGCCTGTGGAAGTAATTGACAAACAGTTCCTCTACAACTCTTTCTATTCTTGGTGGCCTCTGCTAGTGTATTTAGATATCACATGATAATTCTGATTAAGTTGTATAAAACAAGGTAAGTATGTTTAAGCAATAATATAATAAAGGATATGTATATAATACTAAAAATTCTAAACACGTATAGAACTGGAACATACAAAATTCAAGAATGTTTACATTTCTCCCAAGTTCATATACTTTTTGTTTGGTTATTTTATTCTTGCTGTTTATTTTTTACTATTTTTTTTAAAAGGCATAAGTGCAACCTCTGAGGATATTCCCAATAAGATTGAAGACCTGAGATCTGAGTGCAGTTCTGATTTTGGGGGTAAAGATTCTGTCACTAGTCCAGACATGGATGAAATAACACATGGTAAGAAGTGAAAATGAGAATGACTTTTAGAAATGATCATATCCATAGATGAAACTGGCACTTTTGCACATTGCTGGTGATAATATCAATTGGTATAGTACTGTGGGGAATAATTTGTCAATATGTATTTAAGGCCATAAATGTTCACATTCTAAATTTGGTCCAATTAGTTCCACTTCTAAGAATTAGTCATAAGGAAATAATTCCTTGCGTGGAGAAAGTCTTATGCACAAGGATGTTTTTCATAGCATTTATATTGGCAGAAAATTGGAAGCAGCTTAAGAATTGAAAAATGGAATGGCTTAGTGAATTTTGATGTAACCACCTATTAGAATTTATACAGCTGTGTTTTAAATGCTTTTAAAGAATGTGAAACAACTTGGAGAAATACCTAGAACATAATATTACATGGAAAATTTATTTTATAGAGTGTTATATGCAAGACAATGAAACATTTCAAAAGCTATGCATAGAGAAAAAACTGGAAAGAAATACCAAAAGGCTAGGCCGTGGTTTTAGATGTTGGGTAGTGGGTTTTGAGGTACCTTTTTTTTTTTTAATACATATTTTTGTTTGTTTGTTATAAACTAGGGTTTTTTAACCTCAACACTATTGACATTTTGGGCCAGGTAATTCTCTGTTGTGGGGGCCTGTCCTGTTTATTATAGCATGTTTTTTTGTTTGTTTGTTTTTGTTTTTGTTTTCCTTTTTGTCTCTTTTTTCGTGTCCGGCAACGGATTGCAACCCTCAGTGTCGCGCCCGTACTGGACCGGGACCGGGACCGGCAACGGGATCACAACCCTCGGTGTTGCTCCCACACCTCGCTCAGCCAGTGAGCGGGAACCGGTCTGTATGTGGGATCCGAACCCTCGGCGGAAGCGCCACCACACTCCCAAGCGGCGCACTGTAGCAGTGCGCCACCGGGCCGGCCCCGATATTATAGCATGTTTAGCAGCATCCCTGTCATCTACCAGGAGTGCATACCTCCTGCCCTCTAGTGTTGTGAAAATGAAAAATGTCTCCAGACATTGCCAGATGATCCATTGGGGGGCAAAATAGTCTCCAATTGAGGACCACTGTTGTAAACTAGCAGTCTCAAAGTGTGGTCTTCATGGACCACTGAGAATTTGCAACACCCTTGTGGGGGCAGTGGGAGAAATATGAGGTCAAAGCTATTTTCTTGTACCATTTCTATGCTTAGAATACTTACCACTTATGCACAAATACTTACCATTATGTTACCATTGCCTACAGTATTCAGTACAGTAACATGCTGCATAGGTTTGTAGCCAAGGAGCCACAGGCTATTCCATATGACCTAAGTGTGTAGTAGGCTATACCATCTAGGTTTGTGTAAGTATAGTCTATGATATTTGTACAACAACAAAATCACCTAACGACACATTTCTCAGAATGTATCCCCATCATTAAGTGATGCATGACTATATAATTTTTTCCCATTAAAAAGGTTATTTGTGTTACCATTTAGTGAATATGTTTAAATGAATTAATAAATATTTAAAGTTTTTTCAGTTTTAATTTCTAATATCAATAGTTATACCAACATAAACAAAAGCTTTTAGTGTCAATAAATTTAAGGGTGTAAAGGTGTCCTGAGTCTAAAATTTTGAGAACTGCTTTTCTGTGCTATTTTTCATAATGATATAAAGTGAACTGTAGAACAAAAGGAAAAATCAAAAGGCATAATAGTACTATATCATTCATTATCAAAAAATATAGCTTCAGACTAAAAAAGTTTAGATTAACCTGTTTATATGTATTTGAAAGTTTTAGCCTCTGCATTCTTATCTACTGTAACATTTCTGGTTTTGATTGTTTAGATGTATGATTAAAGGAATCATCTACTCTGCAGCTTAGAATGGTGCACTTTAGAAGTTGGAGTTTGTTTCGTGGTGTAATGTAGTATTCATTTTTCTCATGGGTTCTTTTTTAAATTAAGTCATTTGCTGAGAGCAATATTGGAATTTCAAAATTTACGACTTTTAATTTATACTCCTTCTGTAGATAGTATTGCCCCTGTTTTTATGGGTGGGGGAAGTTGAGGCTCAGGGAGGCTGTGACATTCTGAAAAATTTGATAGGTTGGGTTTTCCGGTTCTGTGTAGTTTGCATTAACCATAGTGGGATTTAGCCATTAGAAGTAATAGGCGTGTGGATGCTAGACCACTTAATGTAATGAAAATCCGCGTATGAAGATAAAAATATAAAATGAATTTGAAATAATCAGAGTTTGATATTTATTAGTTTCTTTTTTTCTGTATGTCCCTCACGTTCCAATTGATCACTAAAGGAAAACTGTCAAAGAGCACTAAAACCTTTTCACTGTGTGGAAACTCACTGTCATGAGTTCTGCCTTGATCTCACAGTTTGCCCTCCTATTTTAGGTGCCCACCAGCTGACCTCTCCCCCTTCTCAGTCAGAGTCTCTGCTTGCCATGTTTGATCCACTGTCTTCACATGAAGGTAAACTAGTGAGATGAACTTTTTTCTCTTGTCATAGACAGAAGAAAGAAACCAAAACCTTTCATTAATACCTTTGCTGGATTAGTTGTGTCTCAGTTACAAAACATTTTTTTTTTCTATGTTGCAGGGGCTTCTGCTGTGGTAAGGCCAAAGATTCACTATGCTAGGCCATCGCATCCACCACCAGATCCCCCAATCCTGGAAGGAGCTGTGGGAGGAAATGAGGCCAGGTTGCCAAACTTTGGCTCCCATGTTTTAACTCCAGCTGAAATGGAAGCGTTCAAGCAAAGGCATTCTTATCCTGAGAGATTAGTTCGCAGCAGGAGTTCTGATATAGTATCTTCTGTTCGGCGACCCATGAGTGACCCCAGCTGGAACCGACGTCCAGGGAATGAAGAACGAGAACTCCCTCCAGGTGCAGCCATTGGTGCTACTTCTTTGGTGGCTGCACCTCACTCGTCATCCTCATCCCCGAGCAAGGACTCCTCCAGAGGAGAGGTACGGGCCATGGAGAAGAATTTGCTAATTGTGCTCAGCTTTAGTGTTCTGTCTGCCAGGTTCTTTTCATGCCTGAAATTAACATGGAATATACATATATATATGGGATATATAAATCTAAGATTTAGGATGGACAGTAGTCACAATTACAGATAATTTGTTAATCTAGGTTGCCCAAACCATAACCCATAGGAAACCTATATAACTTTGGTTTTGTAGTAAAATCTTGCATTTTTATAAAATGTTTAACTTTTCTGCAAGCAATTTTGTATCTTATTTTATTTAAACTTCACAGTATCCCTACGAGATGGTTAGGTAAGTTATTATTTTTTATTTTGAAACAATCATAAAGTTACCAAAAAGTTGGAAGTACGATAAAAGAACACTTCCTCCCCATTTGAGAGTAAGTTGCCAACCTGGTGCTCCATCACCTCTGAATCCATTAGTGTTAGTGTACTCCAAACAAGCACATTCTCCTACACATCACAGTACAACCATCAACATTAGGAAGTAAACACTGATATATCACTACCATCTTCTCGTATCCCGTTCAAGTATTTCTATATCCCTCATAATGTTCTTTATTGTAGAAGGTTCCCATTCAGAATCACACGTTGCTTTTAGTTGTCATGTCTTTTTAGTCTCTTTCAGTCTAGAACAGCTTCTCAGTTTTTCCTTGACTTTTATGACCTTGATACTCTTGACATAAGGCTACTTAAGTTCTAGAATGTCCCTCAATTTGGGTTTGATGTTTTCTGATGATTAGATTCAGGTTATTCATCTTCGGCAGGAATATCACTATAATGACACTGTATACTTTAGTTGCATCATGTTAGCACACAATTTTAATTTGTCCCATTACATTGGTGTTCATTTGGACCACTTGATGAAGGTGTTGTCTGCCAGACTTTGCCTCTATAAAGTTACTCTTTTTCCTTTCATAATTAACAAGTATTTCATGGGGAGCTGTTTTGAAAATATGTAACTATTCTGTTCATCAGACTTTTAGTTTAGCTACTTAAGTATATCTATGGTCTCATGGTTTTCTATTTTAGTGAAGTGAATGGGTTTATTACTATCATTTGTTTTTGAAGCCCAGTTGTCCCTGATTTGGCCAGTGGGAGTCCTTCAGGCTGGCTCTTGGGTTCTTTTGACCTGCCTCTATCATTCTTTGAGCATTTCTTTACTTTCTGGCACAAGATATTACAAGTTTATATTGTACTTTGTCTGTGCTAGTCCTGGAATCTGCCATTTGTCCAGGGAGCTCATGTTTCTTTAGTGAAAAATGGTTTTAGAAATTGAGACCTGGATACAGTGTTCATTGCTGCAGGTGTGTTGCTGCTCCCAGGACCTCTCAGTAGACAGAGCTAGTGAGAGAGAGAGAGAGAGAGATGTATTTATTTCTATATCTATCTTTCTCTCTTTTTCTCTCATGGTTCTTAGACAGAACCATGAGTTCACACTGCTGATACATTCAATTTCAGTCTAGAAACAGTGGAGTTTGTTTAATCTTCGTCCCTTTCCGTATTTATTGCTCTTCTCCAACAGTGAGAAACCTGCTATCATTGCTCTTCATGTACTGTATGTACTAATTTGATCAGTACCCCTGTATATAATCAATTTCCCATCTCCACTGCTAACTCCTCCCTGGCACAGATGCCCTCATCTCTCTGTGTGGGTTCTGATACCCCATTCACATGGATGCTCTTAAAGAAGGTTTTTAAAATTCCAGCTTTGTAGATGAAAAAATCGAAATTAAATGATTTGTCCACAGTCACATGATAGGCTACTAAAGGCATTATAGCTCTTGCTCTTTGACATGTGGTCTTAATGATAACTCAGTATAATTGGTGACCAGAACGTGAACTTTGAAACTGGTCAGGTCTAGGTTTGAGTCTTAGCTGTGCTGTATACAGACTGTATAACTTTGGGAAAGATGGGGAGATAACCTTTTTTAGGTTTATATTTCTCATCTGTAAAAAGGGCTCAATAATAGGACCTATTTCCCAAGGCTACTGTGAGGATTAAATGAGATAATATATATCCTTATGCTCAGTGCTTGGCACATAGTACACACTTGTTTTTATTATTATTAATATTACTGCTTCCATTTCTACTACTCCTCTAGAGTTTATTTGCACTGCATTTACTAATTCTGTAAGTATTTATTGAATGCATACCCTGAGACTGGTTCTGTATTAGGTTTTCAGTTTACTAACAGTATTGAGATAGTGTCTGTCCTCAAGCAGATTACAGTCTGGTGCTTAAAACTTATACTTCCATGTTCCAGAAGTTTCCTACATAGCAGTAAGGACAGTTTTGCTTTAAGGCAAACAAGACTGGTTTTTGTATTTCACAGACTTACTGAAATCCTTTTCATAGTAATATATCCTGCCACCCAACTCCAAATAAAGCATCAAACTTTTTCTACAGACTGAAGAACGCAAAGATAGCGATGATGAGAAATCAGACAGGAACAGACCTTGGTGGAGAAAACGTTTTGTTTCAGCCATGCCTAAAGGTAATTTCACAAAATATTAGAATGCTGATTTAGCAACAAGAAGCAAAACCCCCAAATCTCTTTCAGAGAGCCAGTATTTCAGCTCCTCTGTGAGGCTTGCTGGGCCTAAGTTTCTAGCTGTTTTGAGGGTGTAGAAAACGGTTTCATTCAGATGAATGCTAAGGCAGAGGTTTAGAAATGTTCTTGTTTGCAGAAAGTCATAGTGGTTTCATAAATGGAAATCATGCTCGTCACTGTTGTTTAAATATCTTATACCATCGAAGTTAAACATATACGACTTTTGACTTATGTATTCCTATATATTATTGCAAGAAAATGGATGCTATTGGTAATTAAACATTGAAGATTCATCCTTTACATTCCTGGAATAAGTTTAAGCTTTTTATGTCTATGTTTATTGAAAATGTTTATACCCTAAATATTAGTGTGTGTTTATTTTGGAAGGCAGTTGTATAAAATTGTTTGCATTTTTGGTGAATAGTCTGGCATCATTTGAGTTGGCAAAAGCACCTCTTCCTGAAAGGGGAGATCATCCAGGAGTAAAGCTAGGGACTTCTTCCAGAGGCCTCTTCTCAGCACTGTGGCACTCAGGAGCTGAGGAGAGCTGCTTTCCCGCAACACTCCAGCCCACGTGAGGAGGTAGAGAGGACGAGGCTAGGAGTTCTGATGTGTTGTTTTTGAGTAGAGGTTAAGAGGCAGTGGTTTTGATTTAGTCTCAATGGATTCCTGTTAAATCATTCTTCCAGTGGCAGATGACTCCAAAGCAGATTCTGAAAGCTTCTTTAAGAACCTTCAATCCTATTTTAAGAACCATTATCAGTTGACACTTGGGATTTCTTAGCTTTTAAACTTTTCAACCTCCTTTCACGTAGAAGTGTTGGCCCACCGGTTAACTTCCAAGTAGTGCAGTATGTTATATGTCACACTACTGACTTTATTTAATTTCCAGCTCCTATACCATTTAGAAAGAAAGAAAAACAAGAAAAAGACAAAGATGATCTGGGGCCTGACAGATTCTCAACACTCACAGGTTTGTAGACCCATGGACTTCCTGGCTCCTTCATTCCCAGAGCACATATTTCATAACACTTTTTCTTGGGTGCCATAAGCGTTGCCTTTTTAGAAGAGTGTGTCTGTGTGTGTACAGTGGGGAGTATGTTCTTCGTAGCCCTGTGGTCTCCAATTGGTGGCCACAGTGAATCTCAGTGTGCTCTTCTGCAGACTGCCACCACCATCATCATCCTCATTATCATAACTTCTGTTTATGATGAGGCCCCTGACTCTGAGCCTCTAGATATACCCCGCAACTCAACATTTAGTAGGATGATGACATGCAGTGCCTTTTAGGAAAGTGTGGTGACGGTTTTAGTGCTATGCATGCCACATCTTTGGATCATTGATTGAATAGTTTTCTCTAACATTGATTGTAGAATTCTAAATTTATTTTTACCTATAGTTTGTTCTTGATTATTCATGATCATAGCGAAATTCTGTTTTACTTAATCATTTCTTTTTTTTTGCGATAACGTGTTTGTTTAAACAATATCATAAATGCCAACCATTATAATAACAGTTTTAAAAACTTTACTAATTTCTTACAGCTTGAACCATTTTAACATTGTTGTCTGATTCAAGGAAATACATCTAGGGGTTGTGTTCTTACCTTATTTAGCATTTGTATTTTTGCAGCTTCTTTTTGGCACATTATGAACAAGTACTCTAAAAGGAAAGAGTCTGAGGGGTAGTGTAATGAACCCGCCTTGAGTGTGGTAGCTGTTTCCAGTGGCTGTCGAGCATCTAGAGGGAAGTTCATTTCTCACCTCTTTTTTTCTTATCTTGATATTAAATTATCCTACTATCCCACTAAGTTAAAATGGAGGGTTTTTTAAATTAAAAATGGAATAGGTTTCAAAAGAACATCCTCCTCATAGTATAGGTAGAATCCCATTTTAATGAAAATTATTCTAATGTTTAGTTCTATATATATCGAAGTGTATTTCCATGTCCTAGTGTATATGTCCCTGCTTTATTCGACATGGTGACTTCTCTGGAATAAAGGGTTTGAACAACAGGAGATGTGTTTACAGGCCACAATTCCCTGCCCAGAGCAGCCACACCTGTTCTATTCAGTCAGCAAATACTTGTTGACCATCTGATTCATGCCAGCCACTGTGCTAGGAGTTTTGGTTATTAAGTCAAATCACACATGACCTCTGTTTGTCAGGACCTTCCAGTCTGATTGGGAAGAGGTAGAAAACATTGTCCTTTTGGCAAAGTACTTATGTATCCTTATCATGTTCCTAGTGTTAGAACAGCAACAGTGCTTGTATAGTGAATTGCTCTTCTTGAAATCTCCTGTTCTTAAAATGTTGAATCAATAGCTGTGGAGAAGGTATAAATTATTTTTTAATTGCGTCTTTGGGCAGTACATTTTTCTTGGTTTCTTGGTTCTTGATGCTGAGACTAGAAGCTAAGTAGAATAAGTTTTTTTCATAAAGTAATTAATTTTCTTTGGGTATGATTCAAGCAATTTAGCTTCCCTATTGGTGCAGAAACTTCTGCTCAGTCCTAATTAATGACCCATTGAAAAGAAATGTCATGATAGGAAATTTCATAACAGTCTGTCCATAATCCTGCCACCCTAACTATTTTTTTCATGTTCTCTCACAATCTTTTTCCATATTTCTACGTGACTTTTTCATGATTGAATTTGATTATATATTTAATTTTGTATTCTTCTTTTACCACATGTTATTTTATAAACTCCCAATTTCTACTATATATAGTTGGTTTTTAAATCATTTTTATTAGCTATAATATAAAACAATTTTTGTGATTCTTTTACAGTGTAAATGTATTCTTTTGGATATTTAAATTGTTTCCAGTTTTTTACTATGAAAATAGTGTTCACAGCTTTGTATATATAGAATTTTTTGTTTTATTTTCCTGGGATAAAGTTTTTAAGGATGGTGTTAATAGAAATAAAGGTTGTAAGCAACATTATTCCTCTCTCTCTCTCTTTAGTCAAATTGTATTGTCCGTTTTTTAGATACCTCAACAGCACTCAAAAGGAATAACCAAAAAGTACTCTTCCTTCAAAACAAGATTCTGTAATGATAAAGTTTTTATTAGTTTACATTTTGAAAAAGATCAGATTTTATTAGGAATCTCTTGTCATGAATTCAAATACCATTACAGCAGTAATATTAAGTTACTTTGGAAATTGTCTCTCTATAATTTACTACAATTTTACAGAGACATGAATACCAAATATTTGTCTTATGGAAGCAAAAGAAGAGCCTGTTAGCATGCTCCTTAACTTCTCTATGCCTTGATTTCCTCTTCTGTAAAGTGGGGGTGATAATAGTATCTCCCTTTAAGCTTGTTTGATGATTGAGATAGTCCATATAAGTTGCTTAGTACAGTTCCTGGCATGGGTAAGTGCTCAATAAATGTTAGCTGCTGTTAATATTACCTGCTCTTAACATACGCACATACGTATATATATAAAATGTAGTGATTTTAATGTCTTTTTAGAATTTTTTTAAAAATGGGATTCTACCAGAATGTAGACATTCATGGTTACCTGCTTGTCCTAAATCTATCCCAGGAATTTGTGTTTCACTGTGGAACTTTATTTTGTCCTGTACATCTATAGCAATTCTTTGCTTTGACAGCCCAGTTGATTAATGGCTACCATTTTAGACTCTAGGATAACGTTTTTGATGTGCTGATTTTGTTGACAGGATAACGGTCCTGTCAGTAAACAGTGCTGCATTTGTGATTGTGATAAGCTTTTTCTTTGTGCATCCCAGGTACAATGCCAGCACTCCCCAAGAATGTCTAGATTCTCTAGAGTGCCTCTGACACCATTGCATGCACAAAAGTGCTCTATTCCAGCAGCTGCACTGTCATGGTGAGATCTAGTGAGATAGAATATGACTATCTGTAGTTTTCAAATGTGGTGTAGTGAGAAATTTATGAAGGAAGAATGGAGAAAGGCATTTCTTCTTATTAAAAAGGGTTTAAGTCTAAGTTTGAATAGTTCTTTTTTTTCCTCCTTCAGCATGGAGATGTCTGAATAAATGAAGTCTGCATATAAAAATGCATTGTTGGAAGTTCTGTAGCATGAATTGCTAATAACAGTGATTTGAGTGTAAACACTTCAAAAACCTGTCATCCATTCAGTCTGCACTGAACTTTGATGCTGTCATGCAGATTCTGGTGATGATGAGAAAGTGGAGCTACTCCTCCCAATTTCTTGCTTTGGCAAGGCTCTCAAGACCTAGAAATGGGATGAGTAGGCAGCTGCATGGTGCCTCTTAACATTGAGATATGTGCTCTTTTTAAGTCTTACCTCCTAATCCGCCTTTGGGATTATGCTACTGGTGTCATACTAACATCAGAGTTGGTACAAACCAAAGGAGCTAATTCTCTCACTCTCCTTTACCCTGCAGATGATTCCAGCCCTAGACTTAGTGCACAAGCTCAAGTTGCTGAGGATATTCTGGACAAATACAGGAACGCCATTAAGCGGACCAGCCCCAGTGAAGGAGCAATGGCAAACTACGAAAGTGCAGGTGCTAATCATGATAAAGATTTGAATAGTAACTTTTGTATCAGTGATAAAGGTGATCAGAATTTCAGTAGACTTGGGCCAGCCCGGTGGCGCACTGCTACAGTGCGCTGCTTGGGAAGTGTGGTGGCGCTCCCGCCGAGGGTTCGGATCCCACATACAGACCGGCAGCTCGCTGGCTGAGCGAGGTGCGGGCGCAGCACCAAGGGTTGTGATCCCATTGCCGGTCACGGTCCGGTACGGGTGCGACACTGAGGGTTGCGATCCGTTGCCGGTCACGAAAAAAGACAAAAAGGACAAAAAAAAAAAAAAAAAAGAATTTCAGTAGACTTCAAAAGAAGGAATGCTAGGGGGATCAGTTTACTATCTCAAAATTACAGATGTCATAGCCAGATCAGATGTAACCCAATCAGATTAAATGGATGTTCCTCTCTATACTCTCCCACTAAGCCTGGGAACCCTCAAATGTTCAAATGCCTTAGTGTTGTCATCCCATGAGTCTGGGGTGACTGGCCCAGAGGGAATTGTGGCATGCTTTAATTGGAGGAGGTACTTTTTTCACTACCTAAAGAACTGTAATTTTATCCAGTTACGTGCTGTCAGTATGGACAGGTTATCAATTATTGCTTAGAACTTAGTTTTTAAAGCATACAGTTTTCCTTGTAGTGGAGTATTGAATAGCTGTCAGAAAAATATGACACAGTCCCCAAGATAAATTAAGAGAAACAAAATATATAAAAGCATAAGTAGTTGACTGCACATATTTATGCTTGCGTGTGCATAGAGTATCTTCTGGAAGAATCTCCAACAAACTGGTAACATGAGTTTGCTCTGAGTAGGACTCCTTGGGAGCCTGAGATGGGGAATAAGGGAAGAGAAGAACTCACACTTTTTATTTTAAAAAGTATTAAAATAACAGAAAAGTTGAAAGAATAGTACAATGGAGGTTCATATACCGTTTGCTTAGATTTATCAGTCATTAACATTTTGCCACATTTTCTCTTTACGTATTTTTTCTTTTTTTCCTGAAGCATTTGAAATTATCTCCTAAGATTAAAGGTATTTTCCTACATAAACACAATATCTTTTTTACATTTAGGAATTTTTTATTCCTTTTGATTTTATGCATGTGTGTATTACCTATTCTGAATTGATTACATAGAAACAACTGTGGGAACCACAGATCTGACCTTGCTGCCTTTGTCGCTGGGCTCATCCTAGGGTGTAGTAGGAGGTGCTCTGGTAGGGAGAATCGGGAGACCTCATCCCTTGGTCCACTTCAGCCGCCGGCCAACCTAGGGATTCAGAGGCATTTTCTGACTGGGCAGGAGTCTAAGTCTGTAAAATAAGAGTATTATGTAAAATGATTTTTGAGGCCTCTTTTGGTTCTGTTGTTCAGTGATTCTTGATTACGGAATATTAACTTTATTAAGTTAATGCAGACTTTCATTGTTTTGGATTAGGATTGGGATGAGCAGTACAGCCTTTCTCCTCTCAACAGCTGCTCTCTTGATACTTATCGTTGCTAGCAATAACTTGGTTGTGTGGTTGAAGTTTTTTTCTTTCCTTTTTTCTTTCCAAAGAACTTTTTATTGTAAGGTAATGCTAATTTATTGTTGAGTTGCTCTGAATACCTGCTAGTGCCAGATATTCCAAATTAACCTGGTTATCCTTTTCTTGGCGGTGGATTTTATTCAGAGGTTATGGGTGATGGCGAAAGTGCACGTGATTCTCCTCGTGATGAAACACTGCAGAACATCTCAGCTGATGATCTCCCAGACTCTGCGAGCCAAGCAGCCCACCCTCAGGATTCAGCTTTCTCTTACAGGTATTTCTTTTATGAGATTTGGGACTTTTGGGTTTGGACTTTTCATCACCATTGCAGTCACTTCAAGTCAAGTGATGTGTTGTCACTTAAATGTGTAAAACAGAGAGATACGAATGAAATGCCAAATAAGACTTTGCTTCAGTTGTGGATGTAATATACTAAATGCTTTAATTCAGAGATTTAAAAAAACTCATATGCCCAAAGGAGCCACATAAGTAACTTAAATAAAACAAGTTGTAATGCCCCTGTGCATGCCAAGCTACCAGCCTGAGGGAGAAATGTCGGGGGGACAGAGGTGGTTAGAAAGTTCAATCAGCTGTGGAGCTCCTGAAAAACCACTGTGTCCAGTAAACCTGCTGGAGCCCTCTCAGTTTGTCATCCTCCTTCTTCCCTGGGCAGGTCTCTCTGTTTCTAATGGGGCTTTAGAAAGAAAATGACTTTAGGATCCTGAAATTTTTGCCTTTGTCTGATAAGGAACGTCTGCTTCTCAGACAAGGAGCATCAGTTTTAAAGCACTGTTATACCTTGTGGACTTATGAAGTCTCCCCCATCTCTCTTAACTTTTTACTCTAGAAATTTTCAAACAGGTACAAAAATAGAGTACAATGACATACCCAGACTCAGCAGTTACTAACTCATGACCATATTGTTTCATCTTACCTCCCCCCAATTATTTTAAAGCAAATTCTAATTAGCATATTATTTTATTTATAAATATTATGAAACTTTATAATTTTTTTCCCTACAGTAAAATTAAGGAGAGCAGCAGATAATTTTTATTTTCCAGCCATGACTTACTTTGCTAAATTCATCAGGTAACTTTACCATTATGCATTTAGAAGAGTCTTTGCCTAATGGGTGAATATTATATGTTCTCAGCTTGATTTCTGAATTACTCATTTTATAGGAAGAAAACTGATAGGGAAAGATTCAGAGCTAGGCAGATGAGATGGACAAGTGATAGCCCTGCAGAGGAGGAGCAAACGCTGGCCTGTTCTGTAAGACTCCTCTCTTTAGATGGCAGATTTGAACATTTTAAAGTTTTGGTCTGTGCCCTACAGAATCAGAAAGAGTCACAGGCACTAGCAGATAAAAGAAACTCCTCAATGTCTCCCTGTGTGAAGAACTGCATAGTTGTGGAGGGTGACACCAGCAGGTGATGATAGGTGGTTCAGTAGCTGGAAGTTAAGAGGAAGCAGATTTCGGCTCAACACAAAAAACTTTCAAGCAGCAGAGCAATAGAGAGAGCTTCTTGTCAGGTGGTGGCAGAAGCAGGATCGGCACTTCTTAAGAGATGTGGTGGAAGGCATTCTTCATTTGGGTGCTGGAGTGGTCCTCATGACTTCTGTGGTCCCTCCACCCTCTCGTGTGATATGCTTTTTTGAGTTTCCTTGTAGTGCCTATCCGGGAACTCAGCATATGATAAAGGGTCAAAAAGGACTTGCTGTTTGATTCTGATGACTATACAGAGTGGTCCTTGCCCAGAGCACTTTTATAACTTTGCTCCTCGGATAATTAGAAAGTCTGTTCTTTTAAGTGCAGTGTCAGAAAGTTAAAAATAATCTTTTTTTTTTTTTTTTAATGACCATATGGAACATTTGATTCCTGAGTTAGCATATTAATTTATATAGTAAATTTCATAAAATGTGACCATATCTTAATAAAGAAATTAATGTATTTTCTATTCATTCTTCAGAGATGCAAAAAAGAAACTGCGGCTTGCTCTTTGTTCTGCCGATTCTGTTGCCTTCCCAGTGCTAACCCATTCAACAAGGAATGGTTTACCAGACCATACAGACCCAGAAGGTAAGCTGCTGTAGGATAGTTTATTTTTTCGCAGATTTATAGGTTGAACCCTATGAAATTGCCAGTATTCAACTGTAGCTGTATAGCATTTCTATAGAGTTCAACTTAATATGTTTATATTAGTATCACTAAGGGCACTTTGATTATTGGTGGTTTATTAAAGTATTTTCTAATGGGGACTGGCAATACACCTTAGTTGTCATGATACATGGTAGAGCAGAACTGACATAGAAGTGCTGAGAGGTTCCATACAGCTTATGTAAGCCCATGGACATTCTCCATAATAACAGAATTCTTATTTTTTTATTTAGACAATGAAATTGTTTGCTTTTTAAAAGTTCAAATAGCCGAAGCAATTAATTTACAAGATAAGAACTTAATGGCTCAACTTCAAGAAACAATGCGTTGTGTGTGCCGTTTTGATAATAGGACTTGTAGGAAACTGCTGGCATCTATTGCTGAGGACTACAGGTAATGTACCCAGCCTGTTCAGCTTGTAAACCTGATTTTCAGCTGGAAGTCTTTTCTTTTTGGTCTTTATTATGGAAATGAATCTAGGCTTACTAGAGAGTGCTTGGCTATATTTACCTGGATATAGATTTCCAAGCAACACATTTGGTTATTTAGTCCAGAAAAGTAGTTATAAATGAGCAGCTCTTACTAATAGAGAAATGCAGTTTACTTCAGTATTACACAAAAGCAGGTAAAGAGGTATGCCTATATTGTGAGGCCAGGATAACTTGGTTATCATTTTCCCTTTTTTAGGGGTGATAGGAAAGACTGCTTTCCTGGACCAGAGAAGCAGGAGTAACCATAGGAATTGCTGCTTGCTTCTGCTGCCAGTCCCTTGCTAAATGGTTATGGAGAAAAATGTAACTGAGATGCTTAGGCACTGACGAGGCTTCAAAACTTAATGAATGAGCACTCTAATGATTGTTACATCTAGACTATAAGCAAATCATTGATGGGGAATGTTTAATGACCTATACAACCTATATTTTGTTGTATTTTTAGTCTTCTGTAGTGGTTAATTTCCTGTTAAGTATGAGGTCCTACCAGTGTGGAGACCGTGTTCCAAAATAAAATAGACCAAGTATGCGAAGGGACTTGGTAACATTTAGTGACTTAGGTAGCTAAGTGTTTAGCTCATAGATGATATTCTTCACAAACATGCAGAATGATTCCATTCCTCGATCTGGCAGCATGATTAGTCCCCAAGAGAGTTGTCTGTGGCTTGACGTGCCAATTTGTAAAACCAGAGTCTATGAAGTAATTTTGTTTTTTATATGAAAAATTAGGACTCTTAGTCTCCAGAGAAAGTGTTCACGGTATATATCTGATGTCCTGCAATGTATTTTTCCTCTTAGGAAAAGAGCCCCATATATTGCTTATCTCACTCGTTGTCGACAAGGACTACAGACCACACAGGCTCACCTGGAGAGGCTATTGCAAAGGGTTTTGCGGGACAAAGAGGTGGCCAATCGATACTTTACCACTGTCTGTGTGAGGCTACTGCTTGAGAGCAAAGAAAAGAAGATCAGGGAATTCATTCAAGGTAACTAAATACCTTTAGATCAATATCAACTGGATATTATTGGGAAAATTTGGAAATTTTATTTTGTGTTGCCAATTTGCTTAAGTACCTGCGTGCCTTAAAACAGTTCCTTTTATGGATTTTTAATAATTAAACTTTGATGTCAAACCAGTAAATTGCATTTTTCTCCTAAATTGAATATCTATAGTTTAAAAAATTGGGGAAATTGGTAAATTTTTGGATCCACACAATTTTTCTCATTTTTTCAAAAACAAAACATATCATTTTTATTACAAACTCCTTGCACTTAAGCTTTTACATATTTCTCACTTTCTCCTGATTTTAATGATGTGGCTGCATATTCTAAAATAAACCACACCCAGCTACTTCACTTAAAGATCACGGTGTCTGCATAGCTAGTAATTAAAATGATTTCAGTGATTTCCTTTTTAAAATTATTCAGATAGTGTATATAAAAAATTATTTTTTGCATTGGAGACTTTCAGAAACTCACAGCAGCTGATGATAAAACTGCTCAGGTAGAAGATTTTCTGCAGTTTCTTTATGGCGCGATGGCCCAGGACGTCATATGGCAAAATGCGAGTGAAGAGCAGCTTCAGGATGCTCAGCTGGCCATTGAACGAAGTGTGATGAATCGGATTTTCAAGCTAGCTTTCTACCCTAATCAGGATGGAGACATACTTCGTGACCAGTGAGTGTGTGTGTTGGACTGTGTAGGGATATCTCAGCCTCATATTTTAGGGAATACATGCGACTTAGTATCTAATAGTGAAAGGAAATGCATCAGTTACCATTTCTCACCCATCAGGGTTACACAATCAAAAAGAATTTCAGGGATGTGGGCAGTCGGGCTGGAAAAAATATGAATTGGAAAGGATATTTTTTTGAGAAGCACTGCTGTTTTCTCTGCCTCAAATGTTCTTCCCTTCCTTCTTCATATGATTAACTTTTATCCTTCATATCTTGATTTCAGATCATCACTTCCTTGGGGAAGTCTTTCCTGACTAGGTTAAATCCTGTTAGGCCTGTGCCTCTTTCTCCAGCATCACCATTTGACATTTGTTTGAGTCATGGTTTCTCAACCCAGCTCTGTTGGCATTTGGTGCCAGACAGTTCTTTGATGTGGGACTGTCCTGTGCATCGTAGGATGTTTAACAGCATCCTGGCCTCTACCCACTAGATGCCAGCAGCACCCCACCAATTGCGACAACCAAAAATGTCTCCAGACACTGCCAGATGTCCCTTGGGGGGGCAAAATTCTCCCTGTTCTTGATCACTGGTTTGTGCGATCATTTGATGAATGCTCTCTCCCCCACTGGGTGGTTCTGTTCAAAAGAGCAAGAAATGATGCTTTATTCACCACTCTGTCCCAGCATCAAGCACAGTGCGTGGCTTCTAATATATGCTCATTATATATTTATTAGGAATAAATAGTTGTGTATTTGAATATCAAAAAATTCTGGAATTATATGGTATTGTGAGTTATATCTCAGTGAAGCTGTTTGAAAAAACTGGAATTGTAACATTGGTTATTATTGGGTAGACTGTTGAGGATTTATCATTTCTACGTTTCCTCATCTGTGTTTTCTTGAGCACTGCTTCACAACTCCGTTTCTGCCCCAAACATGTTGAAGTTGTCACCATGCTTCCTAGCAGCAACAGTGGCTTACTGTGCCAATGACTGTCAAGGAGTTCGTGTATTAGGATCACAGGGTGGGTTATTAATGGAATATATAAGATTTTTAAAATGGAAATGTTAAGATCTTGCATGTACATTTGAGAGAAGTCACTTTCCTGTCAAATGGGTTAGGATTCTTCCACCCTGCCTCCCTCATTTGTTCATAGTCTCAGAGGTTTTTAGCCCACTCCTTTTTCTGTACTTGATTCACCAAATGGGGCCCATTTTCTCTCCAGAGCATACCAGTTTCTGCCTTCATGCATGGGATAAAGAATGGGGATGTTCAAACTGTATTTCTTGCAAAGAGCAACTTTATTCCTACCTGCTCCTCCACGGCATCTCTACAGGCTTTCTAGAGTGTGGAGAGCTAGTTAACACAGTGTCCCTGCTACTGACCTCTTGTGTTTGTTTCTGGTTTTGATCTCTCTCCTACCTCTCACTTTTTTTTATCACTACCTTTTCCTCTACTTTACTAAATACTGTGTCCAAGCAGCTCCTAGGCTAAGGGCTCTTTTCCTTTCTCCCTTGGCATGCTGTCATAGTCCAGGATAGAAGGACTTGCCTGCTCTCCCTGCATCCCCTTGGCTCACTCAGCATTTCAAATAGATCCTAAACATGAGCCTTTTTTGACAAGAAAGAATACTTATAGCTAATAGATAGTCTGAACTGTAATTGTAATTTATATCTAGAAATGTCTAAAATGTTCTAAATGTTTTGAGAAAATCAATTATCACTATCTGTGTACCTTGTTTTCTGAAATGTATATTTACATATGTATTTTGGGGGGTTTTCAGGGTTCTTCATGAACATATCCAGAGATTGTCTAAAGTTGTGACTGCAAATCACAGAGCTCTTCAGATACCAGAGGTAATACAGGTTTTTGTAGCATGGGTGATATAAACTAAACGCTGTACAGTATACTGCATACATGTTGCTACTTTTTCAAGGAACTGGAATATGATAAAATATAATACACCATTTGCACTAGATGTAATTTAGTCTAATTGTAAAGTTCCTGAAGGTGCTTGCAGGGGTTAAAATTCCCTGGCACTCAAAGGGGCCCCTCGGTAGTGGAAAGGAAGGAGAGCCAGCAAGCAGGAAAGAGCACCCCCCCCAAGCCACTTGGCCCCAGCCCTGCGGTCCTGGGGCAGCACTCTCCTTTGATGCTTTTGTAGACAAGTTTCTGCAGAAATGTCACATTTGAAGAAGGGGCTGGTGGCACTCCAAAGAGTGTGAGAACTGCAGTTCCAAGAGAGATCATTGAATCTGAATGTGACCTCAAATTATCTTTTAGCTATTGATATTAGCACTTTTACTTGTCATATATCTCTTATAAAATAAGAAAACAGGTAAATTTTAGGTATTTGAGCTTTCTGGTGGTTTTTAGTAAAATTCCCACTAATGAAACTTTAATTGGCATATAATTTTTAATTGATTTTTTTTGAATCTATTATTTCTAGAACTACAACAACAGGGTACATACTAATTTTTAAATTATTCTCTTTTAGTAGCTTGTTTATGCTTTTGGAATCAGCTACTAAATGTAGGAAAGTTCCATTCTAGCTATTTAAGAAAGATAATTGTTTGAAATTTTATGAATTCTAGGTTCTGTGTTACTGTATGTCCTTTCTCTATTGATGGATATCTGGGATGCTCTATTTTAAAATGCATAGCAAATTATTCCAAAGTTTAAAAATTAAGCTTTAATCCTGGGTGGAAGGGGAAAGAACTGCAATATGGCTTTACTGAAGAAAGGAAAAAGCAACCACCAGGGTAACCTCTGCTTCCTGATGTGGAGGTTGTAGTGGTTGCTGCCTGGGGTTGTCATTGGATTCAGGATCTCTATATTGTCTGTGCTGTCACTTAGGTTTATCTTCGGGAGGCACCGTGGCCATCTGCACAATCAGAAATCAGGACAATAAGTGCTTACAAAACCCCCCGGGACAAAGTGCAATGCATCCTGAGAATGTGCTCTACGATTATGAACCTCCTGAGCCTGGCCAACGAGGACTCTGTCCCTGGAGCAGATGACTTTGTCCCTGTGTTGGTGTTTGTGTTGATAAAGGTGGGCCCCTTACTACTGTCAGTTAAAGAGTTTATGTGGCATTCTGAGCAGGGTGGCACAGGACTTCACATGATGTTAGAGACCTTGGCTCTTTTCCACATGTCAAGCTGTGTATTACCCAACAAGGAAGGGTCGAATGTCAGGATTTGTTCTGTCTAGATGTTAGGGTTTTCAAAAGAAAGGATGGGAAGACTAGATTCCTAGATGAACATTTTCGGCTTTTAACACAGTGCTTGAAGTTCTTGGTTGGGGCTCGGTATATAATTATTGAATGGATGAATGAAGGGAGGTTTTTTTTTATTGTGCTTTTACCATGCATCTTCTTTTACATTAAATTCTTTGTAGTACTTGTCATATAGACCACCAAATTTACCAATCATCTCTCCTCTCTTTTAGCTTATTTTGTAATTGTAGTATATTATTTTTAAAAGTACTGACATTTCTTATCCTTCTTTGACTTTAAATTTTCATCATTTAAATGGCTTGTTCTGAACATTTTGAGGATGACCATGCAGTTTGGGTGCACACAGCCACTAACTGACTACTGTGTGTTCCAGTCAGCTCAGCCCAGCCGTTGATGTCTAAAGTACGTTTGACATATATCTAGTAATTCTTAGTGTTTGTGATATTTCTGCCATCTGAACTCTTGTCTCAGAGAAAAACCATACACTCAGTCACCATAGCTCTATACCCTATGTAGAGCCAGTTTAAGCTAGTTTTAAGGAAAGGGCTTTATCTTGTCCTCCTAATAATTTAACAACCTGGGTTCTTTCTCTCCACATGAAGAAGGTGATGTGTTATCTCTTGCAATATTATTGCGTATTATCTTTTTTAGTTTTTTCTTTCTCAGCTTATTCTACCCAAATTTAATAATCAGATGTAACTCAATTGGCCTACAGCATTTATGTCCTTATCTAACATTCTGGAGTCCTGGTATGTTGAGTGAGAGCGCTGAGATTAATTCAGCCTCCTCAGGGACCAGTGAGGTTAAGTGACTTGCAAGGATAGAAAGCTCTAGATAGTCAGGTAGGGTTAGAACCTGGGTTGCCTTTTTAATATACTGTTGCTACTCATAGTAGCTAGGGTTTACAGATTACTTCTGAAAAATAATTTTGGGGTTATTTTCAAAAGGACTGGTATCTCTTTTCACAGAAAAACATTTGAAGAATATTTAAATGATAGTCAGAGCTATATGTCTGAGTAATTGACCCCTATTTTTCATTTTTCTAGGCAAATCCACCTTGTTTGCTGTCCACTGTTCAATATATCAGTAGCTTTTATGCCAGTTGTCTGACTGGAGAGGAGTCCTATTGGTGGATGCAGTTCACAGCAGCAGTAGAATTCATTAAAACCATCGATGACCGAAAGTGACCAAGACCACGGCCCACCAAGTCAGCAGACTGTTGGGCAAACAGATCTCTTAGAAGATGTGCCAGCTGTTTTAAAGGCTGAAGATAGTTTTTGTATAATATTGTACAGCATTCAGACATTTTAAAACAAATCTTTACTAAACAAATTAGTGAGCTAACAAGCAGGTTCTCTTTTCTTTGGGCTCTTTTCCTTTCTGAATTGCATATTTTATTTTCTCATCCCCAAGTGGAGAATAGTACTGCAAAAAGGGACCACATTTTTTTTTTAGGTATTTTAAAATATTAAAAAACAGAACAAAATCTCTTAGAAAATTCCTAGACCTCCATTCATGGATACCCATTATTTTATTTTATTTTTAAAAAGAATAGTACATCTCTTTTAAGATGCTATCTTTATCTTATATGCATCTAATGGAAGAAAAATACCAGTTGCACTGAGGATTATAATAGTGGTGTATTAGTGGCATTATCTATAAATACACTCATCTAAATTGAAAAGCTAAGAAGGAAATGTAAATATAATATATATTTATATTTGATGTAATATGGACATCTTCAGATTCTAATAAACAAGGAAAATGCTGATAGTAGGTTGTGACATACCCTCTTGTGAAATTGTTTCCTTGACAAAATTTAAGCTAAGCTTAAAAGCAGAAAACAAAAAATACATACACAGAAATATTTATTAAAGTGGTAATACAGTTTATTGAACTTTCTAGGTGTGGAGTTTGATATGCAGGGCTGCCTTTGATCAGTAGAAAATTCATTGAGTAAGTCCTTAGACATCTCACCACGGAAGTTTTTGAGCCTGCACGTAGGAGATAGACTCTTTAGTTACCATACATTGTGTAAAAAGGAACAGTAGATAAATACTTTATTGTGGTACTTCTCATCTGAAATACTAAATATAACGTAGAAACCCCCAACAGAGCTCCTTACAAACCTTTAATTGTAATATATTTTTGATGATTATTCACATTGAATGCACAGACCAGGAATTCAGTGAATGTCATTTTTTAAAAAACTAATTTGTATTGTCTGCTCTAGTGATACAAGTTTTACTAGTGATAAACTATTTTAATCAACCATATTATTCTTATGGAAAAAATATATTTTGTCAGGTTTCTGTGCCTTTATTTCCCTCTTCTGAAAAAAAGGATATGTTTCAGTAGTTTGATTTGCATTGTACATCATTAATTAATGAGGAATGGGTTTTTTGCCTGAGAAATTGGCCATGGAGGCACACCAAAGCTTCAAGCACAAATCTTGTAGGTAGGCCATCACTGACTGGTTTCACGTTGTATGTTTCCTAAATATGTTTAGCTGCTTTTTTTAACACAGTCTCCTACTTTGGGTCCCTCGTTGTTGGTGGCATTTCCAGACATTTTTGAAGGGAGTTATGACAAATAACCTCGAGCAGATGAATACAGAGTCTGCCTGCTCCCTCTCCCTATGTGTCTCCTAATGCCTAAAGAAGCTGGATTTTCTTTATGCCTCCACCTCTTCTCATTCATTTATTTTAAAATACCAAAATAACAAATTGCATAGGAGTGTGGGATGTGGTTTCTACCTTTTAGGGAGAGATCAAACTTAAACTAGTACTATGAAATGTCCTTTTGAATGTTAGGTCAAGAAGTCCATGTACCAGAGTCATGTGCTTCATGCTGTCACTGTCAAGCTTGCCTAGGTACTAGGAGTCAAATCTCATCACACATACATCACAAGACAAACTGCGCGACATGATTTCTGAGACCTAGATGGGAGTCCATTTACTTCAGTATTTGATTCAATAAATGTTAACTGAAGACTTTGAGTAGCTGAAATTCATTGTTATGGGATTTAACTCAAATCAATGAGAGATTATTTCTTCCCCACAATGGTTGCTAATCTATTCCATGTTACTACTATGGAAATAAATATGAAGATGTGGACATTGCTCCAGGGCTCTTTTCTGTGGAAGAGAAGGTGGTAGATTTGGGGTGTGGAGCTACGCTGGAGGCAGGAAACAGGGCTCTGTGGTGCCTGAGCCAGAGGTGAGGGTAGAACCCCAGAGATTCGGTATCGGTGACGCCTCTGAGACGGAGGTGGGTGCTGGCAGAGAAGCGCAGCCCAGCAGCTAGCTCCAGGGCCACCTGAGCTTCCCTCTGAGAACACTGTCAGAAGCAGGGACCACTCCGGCATTACCACCACTGGTTTAATTTCATGGCAGGATTTCTCACAGTGTTGATTTGTGAATTTATGATTCAGTCACTATCTGTGGCAGTGGTGGTATGTGAGATGGGGTTAGTTTGAGTTCGTTCTCTCAGGAAAGAGAAATAGTTGTTCTTCAAATGTTTCTTACTACATACACTTCCTTCCAGTACTTGTTTTACATGAAGGATTAGTGCAAGAGTACAAAATCACCCCTGGGAAGCATTTGGTAGCCACCGATTATTGCACAGAATTTACAGTGTGAATGGATGTTAAATGGGGAGATAGTGGCTCCGCTCACTGGAATCTTGTGGAATTAACCTCTCTAAGGAAAAGAAAAATCAGTTTGTGTTTTGTAGTAATACTCTGCTTCTGGAAGTAATAGAAATACAGATTGAAGATTGTCTTTCCTTGTAAAATTATTTTTTAAAAAGCCTGGTAAACATTTTGTTCTCTTTCTTGTGTTTAGGTAAAATCTCAGCCACAGTAATTGCTTTATTCTGCTTTTTCTTTATAAAAACCTGTTTATGAAAGCCTTTTTGTACAGATAATAAATTGCCATAGTAAGAGAATTAGGCTTTCTGGGAGATTGAAAATAGATGCGATGCATGTGGGTTTTTTTTGTTTTTTCTTCCTGTTGTGTCCTGAAAGCCTTTATTTAAAGTGGACTTTACAAATACATGTTCCTGAGGTGCATGAGCAAGAGAACAAAAACCCAGCCCGAACAGCAGGGAGGCGGCGTTCTTGCCCAAAGACTCTGCAGCCGGCTGTGCGTGCTGGAGCAGGCCGCCTTTTTCCTATTGCTTGTCATGGGAACTCCAGTTTGGGCCAAGTAAAAGTGTTTTAAATATGAGAACTTTAAAAATTTCTTTCTCTGATGTGATTGGGTGTAAAGAGGAGAAGTAGGAACACACTTGCTCAAAATTATTAGTGGGCTGCGAGGACGTGACAGAAACGCTGTGGAGTTAGCCTCCTTGATTGGTCTGTCCTCAACTTTCTCTCTTCCTGCCTCTCCATTCCTGCTTTGTTTCTTCAAGGAAAAGTCTATGTTTTCCCTCTTTGTTGTTCTTTTAAGTTGAGTTTATTCTGTATGTAATTGCTGTAATTTTGGTGCGGGGGGGATCAAAAAAATCTTAAAGTTCAAAGAATTTTAAGTAAGTGGATTAATAGTGATGAAATGTTTGAAATATTTTAAATGCCAAAATGCTTGAGAACTTTGCCAGATTAATAATTACTTAAAATATTTTAGAATGTAGGTTACTTAAGACGTGTAGGATGACCTGGAATAGCTTTACTACTCTTGAGAACACCTGGAGAAATGAAGACACAGTTTGCTTTAGAGTTAAGGTTGTCATTGAGCTGCAGAGTCACCACGGAGCTGCCGTGTCCCGTAGGCCTGTGCTCAGTAGAGGTTAAATTCAAGAGAGAGGAAGTCCCCTCGACTTGGGTAATGGCAGACAGTGTGGGCAGGGGCCACATGCCTTAAGAATTTATCTCTGCCGAGTTAACATTCTGTCTTGTCTACCGTATTCTTCTTGTGCTTCGCCTGTATTAAAGAGCTCTGTACTGCCTCTCCTCTTGAAACTGATGAAACCTTTATATAAGCCTCAATTGATGAGCTTGCACAATCTTGTATGTGTAGAGGAAACTCATCCTGTCTCCTAATGTGATTACTAATGTGTGAAATTCTGTAAAACTGATTAAAAAGGGAGAGCAGTTTACTTCACTGGGTTTTATGTTTCCGTCACCTATTTTGTGTTCAGAAGCATTTCTAAAAACTAATTTGACTTCTTGAATGTTACTGATGTTCTCCATGAATCCACTCATCTTTTTCATCTGAATGTCTAAGCATATTTGTTAAGTGAGGTACAGGAAGGAACTAGAACGATCCAGCAGTCACTAATGAGATGGCGAACATCTACTGTTTTAACACAGTTCCTCTCTGAACCCTGTATTTAATAGCGATTCAATCAGCCTCAGTTCTGTTAGGTTCACGGAAGCCTTTGTTAATCTTTTCAGCGGAGAGAAGTGACTGTTGGACATGGAGCCCTAGCTTGCAGAGGCAAGCTCACTCTTTAGGCTTCCCTCACTCATGAACAAGTGCTTTCCCTATATTGATTGCACTTCATTTAGAAGGAAACATTTAAAACTTACTTAGGGTTCAGTATTCATTCAGTCTGTTCATTATTAAGATGAGTGTTATGACTTGCCTAGAACTGAAAATAGACTTCAACTTGGAATTACGTATGTCTCTTGGACTTCTGTTATGTTGGTACCCACTGAACCTTCTCTCCAAGTCAGTGGCTCTGTAGCTTTTCCTCAAAGGATGCTGAGCTGATGACAGTGCTTAGATAGGCCTGCCTGTAGGACTGCTGTAAGTAGATGGCGGTCCTGTACCGTGAACCAGGTCCAGAGCTCCCCTGGGCTGTAAATGTGTCCTCTTCCTAAAGATTGAAGCATTCAGTGAAGAGCTTTTGCTTCAGTCATTTCATGCCAGAAGGATCCTTTCCATCCACTTAGTGTAGCAAAATGTAGTTCATAGACTTTTTTAAAAAATGACCACAGAACCAGAGTAGCTGGAAAATTTCTGGTTGTGGGGATCCAGAAAACATCTCCAATGTTTTTTGCTAAAACAGGAATAGCTCTCAGTTCCGTTATTGGACCTGTTGTAGACAACATGAAAACGGTGGTAATCTTATTTCTGTTAACTAGGAATTCAGCCATACTGCTGGCCAAAAGCATGAATTTTTATGTTCCTGTGAAGAATATCCAATGTGATTTTTAAAAACTAGGACATTTTCACTTCAGCTTTCCTTAGCCCTCCTAATCTGTAGTTTTGACAAAAGTTTTGTGACCAGGGCTGTGGATAGACATACATAGCTGCTGACATTTCTTATCACTAATCCCTGTTTAATTCAGTCTAGGGATCTGCTCTGACCCGCACTGACCAAATTAATTATAATCTCTCGGGGTGGGGCCAAGGAATTGGTCCATTTTTAAGTGCTCTGGGGAGTTCTACTATAAACCATTGTTTCCCAAACCCAAACCTACATGTTGAGAATCACCTGGTGTTCTTGTTGCTCTATCAGAGTCCACAGGGGATGGAACGAGTAAGTCCTCCAGGTGGCGCTTCCTCTCAGGGAAGTTTGAGAAGCGCCAGGAGTGCCAGCATCCATCAGGCGTGAACCCACCTACCTGCATTGTCCACCGGATGTGTTCATAAAACTGCAGATGCGCGACCCCACCCTGTACCCACTGAACCAATTTCTTGATATGATCCCAGGAATCTGCATTCCTAGCTAGCTCCACATCTGGCTCTTACTCGCTAAAACTTGCGATCCACTTGACTCCACATCCCACAAAGGTAATTGGTATGAATGGGAGAAGGCCCTTTCAAAGTATGAGAACTCTTTCTTGCCTGACAGCCGGTCCAATTTGCCCTTTAAGGGTAGCTCTTTTTATATGCTTAAATCCAAGTGTTTTTTTGTTTGTTTTGTTTTTGGCAGCTGGCGGGTACAGGGATCCAAATCTTGGGGTTATAAGGCTGTGCTCTAACCAACTGAGCTAACTGGGCAGCCTCCAAGTGTTTACTCATAATCTGCCTGGTTATGTAATGCTGTCTGTTTCCCTAACCTCAAATTGCTAAACATCTCCAGAGGGTTGTTGTGTTCAACGACATACCCAAATTTCTGTATGAAAATTATCTTTTGTCTAATATTCCTCTGCTTAAGCTTTTAGAATGGCTGTTTCATTTGGGTTGTGTTTTGTGTCTCTTCAAAACTGGATGTCCCACATAAAATAACAGCACTGGTTGCAGCAGCCCTTGGCCTCTGACTTGACTTTTGCTCCCCAAGTGCAGCCTGGCTTGCCTTGCTGTGAGAGAATGTTTCAGCAGCATGCTTTCCCTCTCTCGTTACTGCTGCCCACAGGCAGTATGTGGATGCCCACTCCTGGAATTACTTACCTCCCTCTGCCCCACCATACAATCTTTTTTTTTTTTTCCCGCAGTTGGCAGCTGGCTGGTACGGGGATCCGAACCCCTTGACCTTGGTGTTACCAGCACCATGCTCTAACCAAGTGAGCTAACCGGCCAGCCCCCACCTTACATCTGTATTACTGACCGCCCTCCTTTCCTTCTCTTGTGACTGATGGTGACAGGTGAGGCTGCGCCTGCTGCTGCTTAGGGGTAGTAAGTTGCAAATGAGCCAGGCCGATGGAGATGAGTGCACAGGAAAGGGACAGATGATGGGAAGGGAAGGTGCTGAGGGCTGTCCTAGCACAGTGTCATCAGTGATGCCCACCAGCAAGCACCTCCATAGCAAAGGTGGGCCACACCAGTGAGCCTGAAGAGGTGTCTTCCCTCCTGGGTCACTCCTGCCACTTACTGAAAAGCCACGGGTTTCAAGTGGTGTATGGTTGTAGTGCCAGGTTCCGGAACCTGAAGACGGTTGTAACTTGAGCTCTGCCACTGACCAGACCTAAGGCAAGTGACAACTTCTTTGAAGGGTGTCTCCTGATTTGGGCCATATTGCTTCACTGAACCCTTGCAGTCTCATGTAAAATCTTGAAATCCGTCTCCTGTGCTAGCATTTAAATCACAGATGTGGTCAAAGTGCAGTGAAATTACAGGCTGCTAGGAGTACGGTGGGTGTGTGGAACCCCTAATGGGAGAGGCTGTCCACTGAGCTGACTTGGGGAAACTTGAGAGCCTTGCCAGTGGACACAAATGTGTATCGGGGCTGAAAGACACAGCCGTGCACTCTCTGCGGGTGGCCCAGTGCCGGCCATGCTCTCCTGTCCAGGCACACGCGGACCACCTCTGTCTGCGCAGAGAAGTCACTCAGAGAACCCGTATTGAACTATAAGGCTCAGTTGTTAGCACAAGTTCCATTCTGCTATGGTCACCAATAATGACTACAGTGAAATAATTTCTGAAACTTTATACCTTTCTGGGTTTGGACTCTTTAATCCTTAAGTGCCTTGCCCCATCCCACCTCTCGTCATCCCCTCACCCCTTTCCCAGCCTTTCTTCTCCACTGCCCAGTCCCTGGGGCACCCGGACGTCTTGAGGGGTCCTGAGGAAACGTCTCTTGAACTTGCCTCTGCTGCCACAGCCATGTCCCCCCTCCCTATCACGTCCGCCTTAGAATCAACCAAGTCTGGTCAGATTCCTCTTCGGACAAAATCTTCTCTTTCCCGTTTGGGTTCCAGTCTGCCTCTTCGGCCACATGCCTCTGTCCCTTACCTTGCCCTCCAGCTCCACACCAGCCCCTCAAACTGTCACCGTTACCCCAAAGTGCCATGCTTTACCTGCCACTAAGCTGTGCCCTCCCCCCACTCCTACCCCTTCGAATGGTCCTTGGTGGCAGAAACCCACATCCTGCCTCCTTCCCTCCCTCCCCGGTGAGATCTCACTCCGTCTCTACCCCTCTGCACAGCAGGGATTTCCCTGAAGCCTGTGCTCTCCTTGGGGACGGCATGCACGCAAATTGTAGCTGTCCCCAGATGTTTGCAGAGGGGGTGGATGAGGGGCAGACAGTATCCCTCTTGCCGCGACAGGGGCTCTGCCCCCCGCACCTCCACGGCCTCTGGGGAGACACCGCGCCCCTCGCCCGTGCCCTGGGCCGGGCCCCGCGCCCCTTTCCCTGCAGCGCCGGGCGCCCCTCCCG